TCGCGGCTAGGAAGCCGTGCATCAAACGAGCCAGTGACCACTGGAGGACTAGCTCGCAGGGCGTGGCGGTGCGGTCGGGGAGCGCTGCAGGTTGTTGTGATGGTTGGGATTGTAGTCATTGCTAATCACATGAATTTTGCTTGCTTGCACTTGCCTGACATTTTGACCGGTGAAATACTGTTTGCTGTTGTGGGTGTTGCTGCTGACTTGGACTGAATGCATGGCTGAGCTGCTCAAATCATGTCGGAACAAGACGTGCAGACATACATTACTTGGACCCATGGAGCGCAGCCGACGTGGTTACAGTTTCACGGACCTGGCACCTTGCTTGACAGACCAATCCGGCAGACTACGTCACCTCCGCCCCCACCAAGATTTCCAATACTTCTTCCACCTCCGCCTCCCCCACCGCCACCACCACCGGTGATTCTACACCCACAGTTTATGCCCTCAGTGCGTACTCCCTCGAACTCAGCTCCTCGAGGACAATCCTGCCCTGCCACATCGAAATCGCAGCGCACACGCCGCTCGATTTACAGCACTGACCATTCCCGTGATGATGATCTACGCAGTCCTGGGCCTTCCTCGAAACGCTCTCGAACAGCAGCCGCTTCTGCACCGCGGAGATCTCGGCGACCCTTCACCGTGTTTCCCTCCAAACGAGCCACCCGTCCATCGCTGTCCCCATCGGCAAATTGCAAGCATTACTGTCATGCCTTCCTACGCCATGGTCGGAAATGTCTTTCTCCATGTGCTCGTAGACGACCAGGACATTATCATTGCAGGTGTGTACGGCATCAGCGGCGGTGAAGCATAGGTATCGTATATTACAAACCTCGCTGCTGTGTCTCACTTTCAGTTTGAAAAGTTGCCTTGCATTGCCTCGCTTAACACTCTTGCTGTGTGTGGTTGTCATTGCTTTAGTGTCTTCGCCGCAGATTTTCGAGCGCGTTCAGCCACAACCTGTCTTGCCGCTATGAATCCTCACTATTTCGAGTACCAGATCGTGAGAGGAGTGGAATGGATTCGGATTTACACACCGGGCACGTGGCGGCCCGTTCCCAATGATGCTACAGTGCACGCCCCGATCTACGCTTCCACGTATCGGGAGTGGCGCAGGTCATATCGCTTCCAAGTGTACTGGTCAGAAGACAGCACCGGAGGAACAACAGTGGACCCCATCATCACGCCCAGTTCGTATGTGTCCTACCACGTCTGGGAGTACCGCGACTGGCAAACACGAGGGTATCAACGTCTTGGAGCTCCTGTACCAGCCATTGGATCTGCGACGCTCGTGAATGCAGACGCTAATTCCTCGGTGGACTCATCTGTTCCGGATGGGGCGTGGCGGGAACCTTCACCACCACCATTCTATGATCCTTGGAACGATTCGGAGTGATACTTGGGTAGCATGTCGGATAAAATGACGCGGTTGTCCCTGCGTTGAGTGTGATTCCATGTTGGGTTGTCTTGCTTTGTGTTGTGCGTTCCGTCTCCATGTGTTCGCCGCTTTCCTTTATGACTTCGAGCGGCTTGCCTGGTTGATATGTTCAATTCTACAATGTATGGCGCTGCACGATGGGTCCTGCCACGCTACTTTGACTACGACATCGTCAATGGCCCCGCGAACACAAGCGTTGAGTGGATTCGGATCTATGTACCGGGTCCGTGGCATCCAGTCGCCGAAAACACCTTGGGGCCTGCCCCGGAGGACTCAAACACCTATCGGGAGTGGCGCAAAGTATACCACTTCGAAGTGTATTGGCCGAGGGAGAGCACGGGCGGCGCCAATATGGGTGCTGTTTCTCAGCCGGTCTCTTATGCATCCTTCTATACTTGGCATTATCGGGACAGGGGCATCCAGAGGATATCAACGGCTGGGTCGTCCACACCCTAGCATCGCGCGTCCAGTTTTCGCTTCGGGCTCACCGGACCTCATGTACGCTGGACTGACCTCTTCGTCAGCGTCTTCAAACTCAGATGGTGGCTGATGCTCGTCCTCGTCTTCCTGGGGAGTCTATTCAATTCAACTCGATTCAGGAGATGGACTTCAACAACTGAGCCGTGCATTGCTGCAAAACTGATTGCTTGCGTGGTTGTTGTTGTGTCTCTTGCAGTAATTGTTGTCCGCAGCCGTACACCTATCAATCTGTCTGCCCGGGTTTGAATTGTCATGCCGTGGCTGGAATGGTGTCCGGATCCTCAACAACCAGATGCCCAGTGGGTCAAAATCTTTCATCCGGGATCATGGACTCCACATGAAGAACATGATGCTCCACCTCCGCCTCACACATACAGAGAGTGGAAGGAGTTCTATGTCCCAAATCCGGATCAAGACGGTGCGCAGCCCAATGACAGCATGTGGTACAAAAGAGACTCCCCTCAAGCTGGTCATGACTTTGATTCGATGTATTTTCCTGATCACCGCAACGTGGCCACGCAATCCGCGGCATTGAGTATGTCACCGCAGATGTTGGAAGCGATTCTTAGATCCTCGGATGCGGCGGCTTTCTCCACTGAAGATCTGACTCGTCTCCAAGAGGGGATCTCTCAACAACTGTCAGATCGCGCACGTCACGCTTCTCACCAACACCAACCAGTACGTGCATCTCGTGGAATTGCACCACCGGAGACTGTTGGGGTCTCTGACCCATACCGGCCTGTGAATCCATCAGGCAGCACCACCGCGAAGGTCAAACCTATCTTCGAGCTAAATGATGACTAGACTCACGCGTGTTGGGCAGAATACAAAAAAAGGTGGTTTTCATACTTGCACTACCTTGCTTGGTTGATGCTTGTGCATGGTTGTGCATGGTGCCTGTTTCTTTACAAGCTGGATCTGAACCCGCGACACGCCCTGCCTCTTACTTCGACATGGACATCGAGGATGCGAAGCTGCACCCATGGCTCGAGTACTCGGTCTGGCAGGATCAGGAGTGGGTGCTACTCCACTCAGCGGTGGCACCACGGAGACACTGTACCTGATCTACCAGACAATTCTTTTCGGGAGTGGCAGCGGGTAACTGATCCCAGTGGGCGTACTGGTGAACACGGTCAGGCATGGACCATTCGCGACTGGCAGCATCAAGGATACCAACGCATTCTGTCTCGAAGTGAGTCCTTCACTACACATCATTCCCATGATCAATCACTTGGAGATGTTCAGAGTTCCGATGCCATTCCTGTTGAGGAAACGTTCACCTATGCCACTCCTATTTCTGATGGTGATCGCTCGACTGCTTCGCAATTCGCTTCAGTCCTCTATGGCGACACTCGCAATGCTCATCGTGGTGATCTCTCGTTCCCGTCTTCTGAGCGGTTTAGGGCTGTTTCGCGTTCCCCTCGCCGCGGTGGATATTTTGGTCAACGATAGGAACACGAAGTTGAGCATGTGATCTTCCTGCAGAAAAGGAGACTCCTCGCCCCTCATTGAGGGGCGTGTGTGTGCGGAGTGACAGAATACCCTGTCACCACCTTGGGCCGTTTTCGGAGGCAGGGGGCACGGCAGCTCATTCTCTAGCCGTGCCAACGAAGCTGTGAGAATGAGCCGGAAGGGAGTTTGGACGCAAACTCCTGTACCTGCAAGTGATTCTGAAAGTCCTTTTTGGCCCCCTTGGTTGCGGCGCTGTTTGTGCTTCTTGTTCTTTCGGGTAACGTGTTCGCTGCTAGACGGAAGCCAAGTGACTGCAAGCCGAACCCACTCGAGACTCATCAGTTGTACTCGAGACTCATCAGTTGTACTCGAGACTCATCAGTTGTACTCGAAAGATTAGCACTCTCCATTTGGAGTTCAAGTGTGTGCGTTTGCGTTTGCGTTTGGGTTTGCTGCGTGCGCGCGCCTCTCCTCAGCAGGACAACCCAACGTCTCCTCAACGGCGATCTTGGGGTGCGGTGCCACACTGTCTATACTTGAAAGGGTTCAGATGTGATGCCACACGAGCTGGTCAACTTTTGAGCTTGATGAGCATGCTGACCCGATCAAGGCCAGCTTTGTCGGAAGCTGGTGACGAAGAGCGACAAGGCAGCCTCTGACGAATTGGTGCTTGGCCAGCGAATGAATGAGTGTCAACGCCTGTTGCAGACCAAGAAGCAAAATGTCGACACGATTATGAAGAGGCGCGAGAGTGGCAATTTTTATTTGGGCCTGCTGCAAGATATTGCAGGTTTAGTCCGAGATTCTTGCAAGAAGTTGCTTCTGAGCAACTCGATGATAGCGAGGCAGGGGCATAGAATCGCTTCAGACTCTGCGCGTACTGCAGAGGTGAGATATGAATCAGCCATTCCGCTACCTCTCGATGAAGAGTCAGACCTTGAGAATTATGCTTCGCGCAGCCCCTAAGCAGCTTTCCTGGCATGCTCGGAGGGCAATCTCGAAGCGCGAGGCCTGATGAGGAGTAACAGTCGCAGGGATGCTCATATTTGCCGATAACTCAAGGTTCAGGAGCCAGCATGCTTGAGCATTTCGAGCATATCGCATGCTGGGTACGGACTTAGGAGTGAGACATGTGCACCGCCTGAAACCACGGCTGTGGTTTTTTCCTTGGGGCCAGTGCTCCAGGCAAGGCGTGCCTGTGTCCATAGGATGTACAAAGAGATCATAATTGTGATCTGTAGGTCGGCTGGTCGTTGAACCAAAGTTCCTTTGCATGATCAAACATCCCGCAGAATTTGTGACGTCTATCTCCAAGAGATAGACTCAGCCAGAAGCTCCACCCGAGGAACAAGTTGCCTAGGCATTCGTTTTTGCAGACTTCCGCAGTCGGTACTTGTTCGTGTACAATCACCTAGCGTTGCTTGCCGCAGTCGGGCATCCCCATGCTAGCCTGTATGTGAGTCATTGCCATTGCCCATAGTGCTGGAGTCAAGTGTTGCTTTGGGGAGGACTCGCGGAGACCAAGTTCCTCACACAATTCGGGGGAACTGCGATTTTCCAATGCCTTTTTCGAGGAGAACAGGAATTTGTTTCCGCCTCATGTCTTTTCTTCAAGACGATCAGCATTTCAGATCGGCAGATGGAAGCGCATGCCTTCGACTGCAGTGAACTCCTGTCACTTGGATTCATTGCGCGTTGGGCTTGTGTCCAAACGGGCTTGTCTCCGAAATGGGTGGTTTCTTCATGTTTCCAACCCCAAAAAGGGACGCAAGGGAAGCCTCAAACATGGACATTTCCCGAACCAAGTGGCTCAGTTAACGGACCGCCAAATTCAGTGGCCGTCCTCTCTAAGGCTAGAGAGTGCACGTCTGCAAGTGCGGAAGAAGAAGGCGGTTGCGGCTGAGGCCGCATGGGCTGAGGATGTGCTGGGTATCTCTCCAGTCAAGTTAAGTGGGACGCTAAGTGAAACTGAAATGAGCCACATGCATACAAGACAAGCTTTTCCTCAATGCAGAAGCCACCTGAATTGCACAACAAATTCTCCACGCTGTATCGTCATGTATCACAGCCAGTCACGTTTGCACTCCAGCAGAGCACCTGCCAAGCCAACAAACTCGAGCTGACTCCCTCCAGTTGCCACGTTCCACAGCGATGCTCTTGATATTGTATCTTATTGATTGTACCTTTTGGGGGTGGTTGGGCATGAACGGCGAAGCGAAGGAAAACCACCCATTTTGGGGTCCCCTGTTTGGGGACTTGGATCTGTGCAGATTGGCTCGCCCCTTTCACTTCCTTCCCGGGCTCGATACCTGTTGCCACTCAAGACCCGCTGAACGGGGATTGCCGGAGTAAGAGCCCTTGTTGAAATTTGATACTTTCTGAGTCCAGCCCGTATCCAACAAGTCATGCCTCATGCTTTGTGTGCCGGTGTGCCTGCTGATTGTTCAAAAGATTTGTGCTGGGTATGCTTCTGAGCGTTTCTGACACTCTGCACAAGTCTTGACAGACCTGATCAGAGTGGTACTCAGCGGACTTGCCAGGATTATGCGGAAGCAGCGAGGGTGAAGAGAAGGGCTGCAGAGATTGAGAGCATTGGGCTCCAAAAAGATGCCGCATAGCTCAAGCAAGGCGTCTGACTGCTTCCATTTGCTCCAACAGTGCTGAACTTTGCTGATGTCTCCAGAGTTCTCAGGTGTCTTCCTATGTTCCAGCCAGAGAGAAGTTCCTCTGCTGCAGGGCTTTTGGCGGGTGTGTTTGTTTTTGAGGATGCCCCCGTTTGGAGTAGTTTTATTGTTTTTTTGAGGAAACCATCAGACGTGTTTAAGATCGACTCCGTTAGAACTTTGGTGGGTCAGATTCTTGCTCAGGTTGGAGATCCTGAAGCAGAAAGCTGTGGCTGCCGAGGATTTCGCAGAGGCTTGGGGAATCGTCCAGTGAAGTCATGTTTGCTTGGCACAGTCAGTTTATGGTGAGTTTGGGAGGGACATAGTGGGTGCTCACTCATTTTCCATGTTGTTTTACTTTTCTTTTCTCTTTTTGGGGGGGGGTTCCATTCAATTCCCGTTGAAACCACCTCAGAATGGGTAACCTCAAAGCGTCTCATGGTTGATAACCCATATCTCGACCGATTGCTGTCCTGAAGGCTGGAAGGCTCAAGAGGCTTTTGAAGAGCATAGAGAACGATGAGGCATGGGTCATTCCAAGATGGTTTCGGCTGCCCCCACATCGCTACCGGGGGAACACGGGGGATATATACCCTTACTATGACAAGTGGTTATGTGACAGTCATGTAGAATATGCCATTCAACCCCTGCAAATGGAAGTAGTTTGGGGGTAGTGGAAATCCTAGAGTCATGGCTCAGGGGAACATGTCAGGACAAGAGGGACCCGATTCTCAATGCACTTCTGACGGCGTTGATCGTCGCCAAGGCACGGGTGTTTCTTTCGAGTTTCAAAAAGAAACCACGGGAGATGTGTGGATTTCCCGACATTTCCAGATTTTGTTTCGCACCCATGGCTCGTTTTTTTTTTTTTGCAGGGAAATCCTGGAGATGGTGAAGTAGCGGCAGAATTGCATGGCCCCCAAGCTAAAGGAGCAACGTTGCTCCCGACTTCAGAGCTTGGCCTGGTGCCCGAGGCATGATAAATGCAAGGCTCCTTGGATGCATAGAGCATGTTGGGAACCCTCAAAATGTGGTTGTCCTTTCATTTCCCTGAAAACCCAGCCCCAAAAGTACCCCAAAAAAGAGAAGCATGTTGGTAAACTTGGCGAAACGCTCTGCCATGGATCAGTATGCCAAGGCAAGCCAATGCCGGTGAGCAGGCAGGGCGATGTTGCCTGTTGCCGCGCCAATTGGGAGGGGGTTGGCGGGGAGTGCTAGGTTTAGGACGTGACAAGATGAAGCGGCAATTGCTCAGTTGCATGAAGAAAATCAGCGATGATTGCATGTTGCAACCAGCTCTGACGAAGTCGACATTTTTAGCAAAGCTGGCAGCGATGGCAAATCCAAGGAGGTCTAACCGAGCGATGCAGTTTGGGCGTGTAGATATGGATACTGTGGCCAATCACCATGCCGCAGGACGCAAGAGGTGCCTGCGCCGCTGACAAGCAAGCTGCTTTGACAGCGCCAGAAGTGCAGCAACGGAAGGCCTCAGCCATCAAGGACTCGTGAGCACTAGCGCATGAATTGTTCAACGCGCATTCATGAGGCTGCGGATAGGACAAGGCTACTGCCTTCACTGCAGGACAGCCAGCGCAAAGATGTGGAGACGAGCTCTACCAAAATCAGGAAGGTTGGCAGAGACGTCAAAGATGGAAAGGTCGAGGAGCGCAAACAGTGTGACTCCTTTTGGGCACGTGCAGATACTGTGGCCACTCATCACTTACCAATCCACAGGATGTAAGAGGTGCACAAAGCTGCGCCGCTGAAAAGCAAGCAAATTTGGCAGCACCAGTTCAGCCACGCAAGGCCTCAGCCGTCAAGGCGCAAGAATCAGTTCGTTGGTCTTGACAACGTGACATGTATTCATAAGGCTGTGGACATCTAGGACACGGCTACTGATGGCTACTGCCTTCAATGCAGGACAGCAAGCGCAAAGCTGCAGAGAAGAGCTCTGACAAAGTTAGCAAACTTAGCAAAGACGGCAAAGACGTCAAAGATGCAAAGGTCAAGGAGCGCAAGCAGTGTGACTCTTTTTGGGCACGTGGACAGTGTACTGCAGATACTGTGGCCACTCATCACTTACCATGCCACAGGATGTAAGAGGTGCACAAAGCTGCGCCGCTGAAAAGCAAGCCACTTTGGCAGCACCAGAAGTTCAGCCTCGGAAGGCCTCAGCCAACAAGGACCCCGGCAAGAACTAGTCGTTGGTCTTGACAACGTGACATGCATTCATAAGGCTGTGGACATCTAGGACACGGCTACTGATGGCTACTGCCTTCAATGCAGGACAGCAAGCGCAAAGCTGCAGAGAAGAGCTCTGACAATCTTAGCAAACTTAGCAAAGACGGCAAAGACGTCAAAGATGCAAAGGTCGAGGAGCGCAAACAGTGTGACTCCTTTTGGGCACGTGGAAAGTGTACTGCAGATACTGTGGCCACTCATCACTTACCATGCCACAGGATGCAAAAGGTGCACAAAGCTGCGCCGCTGAAAAGCAAGCCACTTTGGCAGCACCAGAAGTGCAGCCACGCAAGGCCTCAGCCATCAAGGACCCCCGCAAGAACTAGGTCGTTGGTCTTGACAACGTGACATGCATTCATAAGGCTGTGGACATCTAGGACACGGCTACTGATGGCTACTGCCTTCAATGCAGGACAGCAAGCGCAAAGCTGCAGAGAAGAGCTCTGACAAAGTTAGCAAACGTAGCAAAGACGGCAAAGACGTCAAAGATGCAAAGGTCGAGGAGCGCAAACAGTGTGACTCCTTTTGGGCACGTGGAAAGTGTACTGCAGATACTGTGGCCACTCATCACTTACCATGCGACAGGATGCAAAAGGTGCACAAAGCTGCGCCGCTGAAAAGCAAGCCACTTTGGCAGCACCAGAAGTGCAGCCACGCAAGGCCTCAGCCATCAAGGACCCCCGCAAGAACTAGGTCGTTGGTCTTGACAACGTGACATGCATTCATAAGGCTGTGGACATCTAGGACACGGCTACTGATGGCTACTGCCTTCAATGCAGGACAGCAAGCGCAAAGCTGCAGAGAAGAGCTCTGACAAAGTTAGCAAACGTAGCAAAGACGGCAAAGACGTCAAAGATGCAAAGGTCGAGGAGCGCAAACAGTGTGACTCCTTTTGGGCACGTGGAAAGTGTACTGCAGATACTGTGGCCACTCATCACTTACCATGCGACAGGATGCAAAAGGTGCACAAAGCTGCGCCGCTGAAAAGCAAGCCACTTTGGCAGCACCAGAAGTGCAGCCACGCAAGGCCTCAGCCATCAAGGACCCCCGCAAGAACTAGGTCGTTGGTCTTGACAACGTGACATGCATTCATAAGGCTGTGGACATCTAGGACACGGCTACTGATGGCTACTGCCTTCAATGCAGGACAGCAAGCGCAAAGCTGCAGAGAAGAGCTCTGACAATCTTAGCAAACGTAGCAAAGACGGCAAAGACGTCAAAGATGCAAAGGTCGAGGAGCGCAAACAGTGTGACTCCTTTTGGGCACGTGGAAAGTGTACTGCACATACTGTGGCCACTCATTACTTACCATGCCGCAGGATGCAAGAGGTGCACAAAGCTGCGCCGCTGAAAAGCAAGCCACTTTGGCAGCACCAGAAGTTCAGCCACGGAAGGCCTCAGCCATCAGGGACCCCCGCAAGAACTTGGTCGTTGGTCTTGAGCACTAGCGTATGAATTGTTCGCATTCATGAGGCTGCGGACTAGGACACGGCTACTGACACGCCTACTGCCTTTTGCTGCAGGTCAGCAAGCGCAAAGCTGCAGAGAAGAGCTCTGACAAAGTCAGCAAAGTTAGCAAAGTTAGCAAAGACGTCAAGGATGCAAAGGTTGATGAGGAGCCCAAACAGTGCGACGACTTTGGGGCTGGTAGGATGGCAAAGGAGCGATAGAAGTGCGACTCCCTGGGCCACATAAGTGCAGAGAAGTTGGGCGAAGCACTCACTGTGCCGCAGGAAAGAGGTGCACAAAGCTGCACCGCCCAAGACTTGCAAAGAAGCGCAAAGTCAGCTGAGCAGAAGCAGGAGCCATAGCAGCCGCGCTGACGCCCCTGGAAAGCCAGGGAATTGGACAAATGCGTTTGTGAGCAATGCAGCCTTGACAGCTTAAAACTAACGATTGCAAGATCCTTTCAAATACAACGAAGTTTGTTTGCAGCAAAAGGGGCAACAGTCAATTCCCTGGGTGCATTGCACAGTATCAATTGCAAGTCGTGAAGCAATTTCATGCAGCAAGTCAAAGGTTGGGTTCTAGTGGGTGTGCGCCTTTGGTGAGAAGGGACACTGAAGTGAAAGGAAAAACCCCTATCTTTGGGCATCAATTGCTGAACCATCGCCCTCAGAGGAGCTCTGGGAAAGAACATGGGAAGAGGTGTGGACACAGGCTGCGTTGGGTTTTCAACCCCTCTGCTTCCTTTTTATCACGTACATTATTATTGTTATTGTTTTGATTTTGTGGGGCCTGTGGGGGCTTCAAACAGTCCCAACCTGAAGCAGGCAGGCTGTTGACTCGTTGACTCTGCTTTTGCGCGGAACAGAGAGTGCAGGCAGATGCCATAGGGAGAGCTGACGAACTCAGAAAGGCCTTGGCTTTCCAAGTATTGATGCAGTGTGAAAGCAACGTTGGTGACCCAGGTCTACAAAAAAGCTAGACTGAAGTTCAAATCCAGATTGATAGCACAAACATAGACTATCAATGATTGCATTTCAAAGAATACCAGCATATTCCCCAGATAGCAAGAGAGTGGTGTCAGCCAAGAGACACGTGCCATAGCCGATGATTCAGTGGATTGCTTAACACGCCGCTTCTCAAATGGCTTCGCCACCGCACAATAATAGCCGGAAGAAAGCGCTCGGGAAGACTGCGGGAAGACTACGGCTAGTCGGCCTGTTGCAGAACCCTGCAGCAGCGCCCGGCGCAAGTCTTCTGAGTCTCGGTGTCTTGCAGCAGCACCCTGCAACAGCGCAGGTGAAGCTTTTTGTTTCGGCCGCGGGGATTGGTCACGTTGGTCATGGCACTCAATATCGCGATCATCTCGCCTTCCATGAGCGGTTCGGGATCGATCATCAGCACGTCGAGGCCGAGATGAGCACCCCGCGCAACTCTAAGTTTCGCCCTGCAGAATTACCTTGCAGCAGCGGCAGCACTCTGCGACAGCGCCCTGCAATAGCACCCTGCAGCAGCACCCTGCGCAACTTTGAGTCTCGGCCTGCAGCACCCTGCCCAACTCTGAGTCTCGGCTTGCAGCGCCCTTGCAACAGCACCTGGTCGGAATTCTGAGTCTCACCCACCCCTTTTTTATTTGAAGATAGAAACCTTATAATTTTCAGGGGACGAATTAACTTTAGAGCCTCCGGCTCAGTCGTCCTCTCCCTTTTCTCCTTCTTCCTCTCTCCCTTGTCTCCCTCGTGTGTTCTCTCGTCCTCTCTCCCTCCCTCTGCTCCCCATCCTCCCCATCCCCCCAAGCCTCTCTCTCCTCAATCTCCCTCTCTCTGTCTCTCTCTCTCTGTCTCTCTCTCTCTCTTTCTCTCTCTCTCTCTCTCTCTCTCTCTCTCTCTCTCTCTCTCTCTCGCTCTCTCTATTTCTCTGTCTCTTTCTGTCTCCCTGTCTCCTTCCTGTCCACGCCCCTCTACAGTCTCTACTCTCTCACTTTCTCGCTCTTTCTCTCTGTCTCCCTCTCTCTCTCTCTGTCTTTCCGTGTCTCTCTTTCTCAGTCTCTCTCTTTCTCTCTCTCTCTCTCTCTCTCTCTGTCTCTCTCTCTGTCTGTCTCTTTCTCAGTGTCTCTGATTCTGGCTCTGTCTTTGGCTCTGTCTCTGTCTCTCTCTCTCTCTCTCTTTCTCACTCTCTGTGTCTCGCTCTCTCTCTCTCTCTCTCTCTCTCCCTCTCTCGCTCCCTCTCTCTCCCTGTCTCTCTCTCTCTCTCTCTGTCTTTCTGTGTCTCTCTTTCTCAGTCTCTCTCTTTCTCTCTCTCTCTCTCTCTCTGTCTCTCTCTCTCTGTTTGTCTCTTTCGCAGTGTCTCTGATTCTGGCTCTGTCTCTGGCTCTGTCTCTCTCTCTCTCTCTCTTTCTCACTCTCTGTGTCTCGCTCTCTCTCTCTCTCTCTCTCCCTCTCTCTCTCTCCCTCTCTCTCTCTCTCTGCATTGCAGCGTCGCGTCCCCCCTGAGTTGCCTCGATATGGGCACTGCCCCTTCATGACCCTGAGCTGTCATCTCACTACTGGCTTTCCCCTTGGTTCCCCTTAATGTCCTTTTCACGTTTCCCATGATGTCCTGGTCATGTCCCTTCCATGCCTTTCAATTCCCCCTTCAGGTCCCTGACATTCTCTCGGTATGTCTGCTTCATTTTCCATGTATGTCCCGTTCTTTTGTTGCGAGTCATTTCCCTACATCTCCCGTCGTGCCGATTGGTGTCCTTGTGCTTCGTTTCCCTCTCATTCCCCCTGCACTCCCCTTGTTTTCATTTCTGTCCCTTGCATGTCCCTTTCAGTTCTCCTTTGTTTCCCTTTCATTTCCCGCTGGTTTCCTGTCATGTCGACTTCCTATATCCTCCCCTCATTTCCTTGCATTTCCTTGATTTTCGGCAAAACGAGACAGGAACCCCAAACCAGCAAAGAGCCGGCAGGGGGAATCGAACCTGGGACCCTTGTCTTGCCTACGGGGTGGGTGAGCCGCGGCCGATTATTGCGATTAGTAGTGTTTTTCCGAATGCTTTGGGCGAAATTAGTCCGGTTTTATTTGTATTTAGGATTTTTGTTTGATTGATCGTATTTTCGTTCGTGTTTGCAATAATTATGTATATGGATGGATTTTTTGAGGTTAATAGCTTATGGATTCGTTCTGATCTTGTTTAGGCGACCATTTTTTATTGATTCTTTAGCATGATTTTGTCGCGATCAGCCCGGCCTTTAGTGCGTCTCGCGATTTGTGTTTGGAGATTAGTAGTATGCTTTTCGCATGTGATGAATGTACATTTTTTGATGTATAAGATGATACAATATATTGGTGTTTGAGTTGTAAAAAATGTTTTGTTGATACGGATTTTATAAAATTTATGTTATTTTTAATATACTTATTATGATTTGGATTTTTTTTCTTCTAAATTAGGCTATTTGTAATTCGGGGTGCCTAATTTAAAGGTCGTTAAACACTTATAACCATTTTTTGGCCGCGGATTAGAATTTGGCTTATTTCACTGAATAAGGCGTTAGGGGACAAGTGGCTAGCAATTGGGGCATATATATTAATAATTTTTTTTTTCCCCTTTTTTACCCTATTTTCATTATTTTTGGCATGTCGATGTTAGAATTCGACGCGTTGCGTGCCGGAGGTGTGTTTCTTTTTGTTTTTTGTCTTTTTGTCGGTGTTTTTCTTTGTTTGTTGATCTCTCTGTTTCTGGTGTTTGTTTCTTTGTTTGTTTATTTGTATTTGTCTGCATTTGTATCTAATATTAAATTTTCTTATATCTAGATTAATAATTATATAAACACTATTTTATTGTAAAGCATTTAAATATATTATTACAAAAATAGATAATGAAAAGAATCTATACTATAATTTCGCTACAATAGTAGTTAATAATTTTGGTTGTGATTTTAAAATATTTCTTTTTTTTTAGGGGAATGAAATAATAAAATAATGAAATTGATTGATTTCGGTTTGGTTTAACTTAAGAGATTCGTATAATATTCGGATTTTTTGCTTAAATAAATTGGAAGGGGGGTTTATAGTGAAAACCTTTGAAAACAAAATAGGGGTTAGATTGGGATTTGTTTGAGTAGTTTTTTAATAAATATTATTTAGAATTGGTTTAGTATTGGTTTAATATGTTTTTAATTTGGGTTATTATGGTTTAGAATTGATTTAATATTAATTTAATATTCTTTTTAATTAATTTACTATAATTTAGAATTAATTTAATATTGCTTTGTTTTTTAAGAGGTTATTTTAACATTTTTTTCTCTATAATTCTCTATCTTTAAAAAAAATGTATTATTGCCGTTGAAAATTGTTAGGATGCGTATTTGTTTCTATTCTTTTTATTTTTTTTCAGGAAAATGAATAATTTTGAGATTTCTTTTCCATATTTATTCCCATCTTATTAATCGTTATCTAATATTATAATTCCTTAGGTTGCTCGAAACCGCACAAGCATAGCCTATTATGGAACGAATATATTTATAAAAGACAAAATTTAAATATTCCATTAATATATTGCTTAAAATATTATACCCATTTTACAAGAATTTAACCATATAAAACCCGATTATTCTTTTGTAACAGTATAATTCCTAATATTTTAACCGAAATCAATTCGGTTTTTGTTTATACCCAAAATATTTTCTAATTTTCCTATATGTTATAACAATTATATAATAATAATAATCTATAAATTTCTTTCCTTATTTAAGCGACCGCCTTTTATAAACTAAATACCTACATATTAATGTTAAACACCTAAAACACATTATCATTTTATATATTATAATATTTTAAGAAATATATTAAACCATTATTATCAAATTCTAAAAATCATATCAATATCTATAAATATAATTATATATATCTCTTTATAAGTATTTAAATTACAATACATATTGTTTTTTATATTTCTATTTTAATTTCTATAATTATTAAAAAACAATAAACCTCCAATAATAATTAATTAAAATAATATATTTTTTTCAAATAAAATTATAAATTATATCAACAATTTATAATAAACAAAATAAAATATAATAAAAAATATATTATTTAATTCTAATAACTAAAATAATTTAATATATTATTTGTTTTACCTTATTCTTCATTTCTACCATCATTATTCATTTCTTACCACACCAATTATATTAAACAAATACCATATCCCAAAAACATTTTTATATATATGTTTTTTGATAATTATATTTCTTTAGATATATTCTTAAATCCGCCGACATTGCTCGGCGTGTCGGACACCTAAGAGAGGATAGAGGATAACCCCCCCCCCCTAACCCCCCCCCCCGCCCGACGTCTAATACGTGGGGGAGGGGGGGGGACCGCGCGGCAATTTAATGACGTTCCACTAAACGTAATCTTCGGGGAGCCGATATCGCAAAACAGGGGTCCCAAGCTCGATTCCCCCTACCGGCTCTTTGGTTTGGGGTTCCTACCTCCTTTTGCAAAAAATCTGGAAAAATTCTGTATTTTTGGACGTCCTAATTGTGAAAACGCTAGAAAACTCGTGTTTTTGTGCTAGAAATATTGGGGAGCAAAGGGAAAATGCAAAGAAGTATAAATGAAATGAGAGGAGGAAATAGGAAATCGATATAACAAAGTAAAGCAGCGGGATAAAAAGAAACAAAGGGGAACTAAAAGGGACATATAAAGGACAGAAATGAAAACAAAGGGAGTGCAAGGGGAAGGAAAGGAAACAAAACACAAAAAACCAAACACGACGGGAGATATAAAGAAATAACTCGCAACAAAAGAACGAGATATATATGGCAAATAAAGCGGACATACCGAGAAAATGTCAGGAGCATAAAGGGGGGGGGGGCTAAATGGCATAGAAAAGACAAGACCAGGACATCATGGGAAACATAACAAGGACATAAAGGGGGGGAAAGCCAATAGTAAGATAACAATTCAGAATCATACAAGGGCAGTGCCCAGACATCGAGACAACTCGGGAGGAGACGTAACGCTGCAATGCAAAGAGAAAGAGAGACAAAAAAAGAGAGAGAAAAACAGAGAGAGAGAGAGAGAGAGAGGGAAAGAGCGGGAGAGAGACAGAAAGAGAGACAGAAAGAGAGACAGAAAGAGAGACAGAAAGAGAGAGAGAGAAAGAGAGAAAGACAAAGCCACAAACAGAGCCAGAATCAGACAAATAGAGAAAAAGACAGATAGAGAGAGAGACAGCGAGAGAGAGAAAGACAGAGACTAAGAAAGAGAGACACAGAAAAAAAGAGAGAGAGAGAGAGAGAGAGAGAGAGAGAGAGAGAGAGAGAGAGAGAGAGAGAGAAAAGAGAGAGAGAGAGAAAAGAGAGAGAGAGAGAAAAGAGAGAGAGAGAGAAAAGAGAGAGAGAAAAGAGAGAGAGAAAAGAGAGAGAGAAAAGAGAGAGAGAAAAGAGAGAGAGAAAGAGAGAGAGAAAGAGAGAGAGAGAGAGAGAGAAAAGAGAGAGAGAGAAAGAGAGAGAGAGAGAGAGAGAGAGAAAAGAGAGAGAGAAGAGAGAGAGAAAGAGAGAGAGAAAGAGAGAGAGAAAGAGAGAGAGAGAGAGAGAGAGAGAGAGAGAGAGAGAGAGAGAGAGAGAGAGAGAGAGAGAGAAAGAGAGAGAGAGAGAGAGAAAGAGAGAGAGAAAGAGAGAGAGAAAGAGAGAGAGAGAGAAAGAGAGAGAGAAAGAGAGAGAGAAAGAGAGAGAGAAAGAGAGAGAGAAAGAGAGAGAGAAAGAGAGAGAGAAAGAGAGAGAGAAAGAGAGAGAGAAAGAGAGAGAGAAAGAGAGAGAGAAAGAGAGAAAAAGAGAAAAAGAGAAAGAGAAAGAGAAAGAGAAAGAGAAAATAAGAGAGTAGAAAGGTTCGAATTAGGGTGCCCTTTTTCTGTAAAGGGGCGTGGACAAGAAGGAGACAGGGAGATAGAAAAAGACAGAGAAACAGAGATAGCGAAAGAGAGAGAGTAGGAGATTGAGGAGAGAGAGGCTTAGGGGGATGGAGAGAATGGGGAACAGAGGGAGGGAGAGAAGACAATAAAACGCACGAGGAAGACAAAAGAAAGGGAAGAAGGAGAAAAGGGAGAAGACAATGTCGGCGGACTAAGCCGGAGGCTCTAACATATTCCTTAAATTAATAATAAATACATAATTAATTCTTTTAAATAATTATTCAAAAAAACATTATCCATTTATTTCTATATATTTATAAATTAATTTCTTTCATTCATTCAACAAATAAATCAATTCATGCTTTTATATTTTCAATTTAAATTAAAAATCATTCTAAAATTATTCAATATATACATCTCTATATTATTATTTTAATCAATTATACATTTGTATATCAATAACAATATTTTCTAGAAACCCCCTTATATCTATATATATATATGATTCTTGTACATAAGGCCAATCCGGCACATGATGACACTGCATAAGGTCAATCCGGCATGTGATGACACTGCTTGGCAGTGCTAAAGCCACAATGTGTCATGGAGATGTCACATTTGCGCAGCTAATAGGACAATACACTGGTAATGGACTTGCCCCGACGCAGCCACAGGATACCGGACACTGCCCAGCCAGAGGCCGAAACAACCCTGGGTGGCCTTCACACCAGCGTGTTCGTGTCATAATTTCAGATTCAAAGTTTGGGTTCTTCAGTGCAGAACAGCCCGTGGACTTCATGGTGATGGACAGGTTTAGCAGAGACTCATAGACCGTCGATGTGCTAAACTCAGTGCTGTAAAAGGCAGACATGGCATCTGAGTAGATGTTCCAAGAGAGTTCCCACTCCTCTGCTACGATTCGATCTTCGCAAGTTGATGCCGCTAGCTGAGCAGTGGCATATTGCAGGCAGGCTGGCATGCACCCCTGCGATGGCACCTTATGCCAAGCCGAGGCATAAGGATTATTGCATCCACATGTAGAACCACAAACCATTCGCAGCAGCCGCGCATCGGGGAGAGAGCAAAGAAACTGCAAGTCAGCACAGCCGATAGCATCAACATCCACTACGCCCAGGCTGACAGCTGCATTCCGCAGCATCAGTTTCACCAAAGGCTGAATGACAGGATCTCCGTAGAGAGGGCCACTCGGCTGCAAAACCTCTGTCTCGATGCACAAACCCCATTGCGTCACTTCTGCAGTCATGTCCCGTTTGAGGTTCTGATCAAAGGCGAGAGCGTTGGCAGCGAAGTAGAGGAGGTATGGGTATGGCTCTTTGGATCTTGTGTCGAATGTGTGCCTGTCAACCGCCAGTTCAGTGATGGTGAGATTCGGAGCGTCGAAGCCAGTTTTTGTCACAAGTGCAATAGCTTGCTGGGTCTCTGAATTAAGTCCTACCACGAAGGTTTGATTGCCACCACAGAGTTCTGTTTTCACAGCAATCATCGATTCGGCTAGCGGTTGCAATAAGAGAAAGTAGGGTAAAAGCAGTGTGCCGATCAGCAGAATCAGCAAGCCAAAGCTCTCAAGCTGGCTTCGCCGTCGACTGTACTTCATCTTCACAGGTTTCAAGTTTTGCACCGCCAGCTGAATCGAGATTGGAGTGAAGCCGGCAAACAAAAACCTTAGATTCATTGGGATCCTGCAATAAAACACCAAAACACTCAATACATGGATTTCCTTTGGGCCAAAAAAAGAGAAACCAGTACCGACGTTTCGCGCATCCGTGAAACTCATCTATATCCAGGATTGCATTCAGTGCCACACAATTGAGCATCAACTCAGTGATGGACGTGGTACCAGCAAGCCACTGAATTCCTGCGCCAAGAAGTAGCGTGGCTATGGCGGCGCGTGCCAAATATGTGAATAACAGGGCCTTGAAGCGAACTTTGCAGATACTGCGCAATGTATTGTCGCGGAAGATCGACTGGTCAGAGCGGGGAATTTGCCACACCACCTCCAAACCCAGCCAAATGTTGCGGTACTCCTTGTAGACACAAAGGCTCCAAAAGAGGATACCTGGAGGTTGCAAAGTCTTCGCCTATCTACAAAGTATGAGATGCAAATGTAATGTGCCCATTCAAAAATCCACGGGGCTGAAGAAAATATGAACAAAACCACCGAGATACACAGCATACAGAGCAATAATCCTGGCTGGAAAAATGGGACCTCAAACTCACCTTCCTGCAATCCCAAAAAGCTGTTGATCTGCTCCACCAGGCTGGCTTGGGTGGTGGATAGAATCAACGCCCCATCCATCGCGCAAACGCGCGACACCAAGCTCCTCCCAGCCATGTCCAAATATTGATAGTCGTGGGCCATACTGATGCGCCATCGCTTCGCATAGTTGATTTGATGCCAAAAGGGGATGCCCCTGAAATCATCCGTCGAAATGATGATTGTGAATGCTGCCTGCATACCCAAATTCAGTAGCAACAGCAGAATTGAGAAGGTCACATCCCACCGACCGGCCGGAACCAAACCAATGACAAAAGGGAAAGTCCATGCGCTCGCCCCAAATTGAAACTGGCCTTCCTGCTCTGACAGGTGATCAGATTGTTGCATTGTCTGTTTTGAAATGACATCTTCGGCTTCTAGCTCTGCACCTCGATGATCTGGTTGCAACTTCTCCTCCACCTTCATCTCCACCCTCTCATCGCCATTATCATCCTTGCCAGGCGAATGCATCGCCACATCATTTGTGTGTCTTTTTCCGATGGTACCCTTTTTGGGGCGGTTTTACAGGAGAACAAAGGACACACACACACACACACCAATTCTCAAAGCCCATTTTGAGACGAACCCATTTGCCTCCAGTCCGCGCGTCTCCAGTCTGCGGAGACGAGCTTCCAGCCTCCGAAGGCTCATCTGCAGCTCTTCTCGCAGGTCGAGGATATCTCTTTGGAGATCCAATGGTTCCAGTGGGGCTAAAGGGGTCGGCATGGCTCTTGGATTTGCTTCCCAGTTCCTAAGGAAACCAATGAAACCAATGTACATTCCAGTAACCAAGTGATCCTTCAGAGAATCAAAAAGAAACATGGCTGGTTACCTACTATACTGGTAACTGGGATCCACTGCGTGCACACTTTTTGAGAACCAATTGGATGACCCTCCCCAAAACGCTCACCCCTTGATACAGAAAGCAACCGGCATGTTAAAAATGTCATTTGCTCACATCTTCGCAATGCCTCTCTCCGAAGATCTGTGGCAGAAGAGAAAAACAACAAACAAATGGCAGCTGCGGGTCAGGAAGCACCCTGGTACCCGGGTGAGACCTCCAACGGCTGACGGGCTCAACCTGGTTGAGTCTTGAACTATGCATGTGCAGATATTTCCCCAACCGCTGAAAGCTTTGGGGTCTCAGCCCAGATAGGCTCCGGCATGGTCCAGGGCGGCCCTGAGGTAAGGGTTCCGCGAGCGAGGGTTCCACTAGGTTCTGTGAGGGCTGCGGGGTGGTGCGAGCACTAAAAAGAGCACCGCATGCTATTGGGGATATCACCTGAGCTTATTTATATGTATACAAATATATACACATGTAACCATTCCTGGCTTTGTCTTTGCGGGGATTGCTCATCCGCAAGTCTCTTGGCGGGCCAGGCGGGCGCACCAGCACTCGACGACCAAAGTGCCAAGACCAGTGGATTTCCGCAGTTGAAGGGCCTTGTTTTGTTAGCTGATTTCCAGGGAAACCTTCAGAAGAAGAGGAAAACAACCCAGGAGGCTTGGGGACCCAGCCCTATCCGCGATCTTTTGCACACATCGGGGACCCTTAAATCTGGTGTTCAGAGGGTCCCGATTTTACGACTTTCCAAACCGTTTTTTTGTCATTCTCTTCTTTCTATCTTTCCATCTATCTAATCTTTATATCTACTCTATGTACCTGACGATCTGTTGCATTCTATTCTACTTGTCTGTCTATCTGTCACTCTACCACTCTATATCCAATCTATTCAATCTATTTACCCGGTCTGTCCCCCAATATATATATATATATCTTTGTATTCATCCACCGCTCCTTTTCTCTCTATTAGTCAGTCGGTCAACCAACCAATCAGTTGGCCTATTTATTTGCAGCATATCTCTTTCCAACACCTGTGCCCCTATCTACCTACTTACCAATTTGTCTGTTCCATGTCTACCTGGCTACCTATGTGTCCCTCTGTCTCTCCATCGGTCGAATGTATGTAGTCTATCTCTTGCTTGATCTATGCAATCTCTCTATCTATCTTCATCAACCTCTCTCTCTCTCTCCCTTTTTATAAGTCAGCCAATCAGTCGACCAATCAATCAATCAATCAATCAATCAATCAATCAATCAATCAATCAATCAATCAATCAATCAATCAATCAATCAATCAATCAATCAATCAATCAAATCAATCAATCAATCAATCAATCCATCAATCAATCAATCAATCAATCAATCAATCAATCAATCAATCAATGAACCAAGCAACCTGCCCTTCAAACATCCAATCACCCCGTCCATCAAACAAGCAAGCAACCAACCGATCAACCTATCTAACCTTAACTTACCTTATCTCATCTTGCCTATCTGATTTACCTTCTCTATCTTGCGAACTTGATGAGCGTGTCACACCATCTGCGCTTGACCTTACGGAAGTGTTGCGGCACTGACGCTGCGGCGAGCCGGTAGGCGCAACCACGCGTGGAGCAGGAGCCTCCTCAGAGACTCCTGCCAACCCCTTGCTGCATTTGCAGCAGCAACCTCAACAACGGAGGGCGTATGAGGGCGTGCAAGGCGGTCCCTCGCTTTGGAGCGACGTCAATGCTGCGCAACGCGGAAGCTTCGCCGCGCGTGAGCATAGTTATGACTCTAAGTTATGACGCGTCGCTGCGTGTGTTTGGCGCACGCGTTGGCCTTTGGGGGGTCATCATGCCGCGCTGGTGGTCCAACACACTGACGCAGTGGCGAGCCCCTTTAATGGTAGGCGCAACCACGCCTAAGCAGAACCCTTGTCAGAGACTCCTTCTGCCACGCTACCAGCAAATCAAATCAACGACTGCCTTAACTCAGGTGACCCATTAAACACTGCCGCTACTGAAACCATCTGAGCAAATCGCTTAAGAGCGCAGCGGCCGCCTTCACTCTGAGCTCTGCACCTGACCTTGCGAAGAAGCGCTGCGCCTGCCACGAAATCTGCACCGGACCTTGCGACGAAGCGCTGCGCCTGCCACGAATTCTGGACCTACGAAAGTGTCGCGCTTGCCATGCAATCGAAGCCTGTCGAAACCTTTGCCTTGCCGTGCCAATGGGCCATGCGCTGAACCCGCGCCAGACAGGCGTCGAGACAGAGCTTGACATCGACGCGGACCCACATGCAAACGCGTAAAGGGTCACTCTTTGTCGCCATTTCTGTTCCCCTGCCACACGCCGAGGTATGTGTTCTCGCACGCACGCGCTTTTCATCTCATTCTTTGTTCATCTTATCCGTGCGCAAAACTATCTTTCAATTCGCGTCCGTGCTACAGAATTTCGTTCTAAACTTCCTTTGGCAAGGTCTACGCTATTGCCACTTACTTGGCGTAAGCCCTTCAAGCGGTCTGCAACATGCGGCCCCACAACAGCAGGCAGATGATCACGCCACCGTCTAACACCCATGCTTGAGCAGAACTGCCCTTCGGGGAAGCAGTAGAAGGCAAAGATTCGCCAACTGAGCCACTGGCCCCGAATCCCAAAGGCTACTAAGCCCAGCGTTTCAAAGTCACTCAACAGAGATCCTGTCATTTGCTTGGCTAGCCGTTTCCTGCTCAAGGAATCCGTGAGGGCGCCCGGTACTGCTGGACGTCAATTTGGGCGCTGGCTCGTGCCGTGCTCCGTGCTGTAGGATTTCGTGCACCGATGCAAACACCGGCATTCGCAATCGGCACTCGTACGCTCGCTATCCTGAAAGGCATCGCAGAATGCATTCTTTGCCCGCTTGGCCGCAGCCGCGCTGGCACTGCCCAGCTGGCGCTTCCTCCTCACGACCTGTGTTCAGGCGGTAGGCGCAGCATTCTCATAAGGTTGTATTTAACTTATTCATATACACGTATATAAATATATCATAAAAAACTGATTACTCAAACTTATTCAAACACATAATATATGTGTTTAATTAAACAACATATGGTAAGTCATAATAGCATGTAAACAAGTATGTATCTATATATATATATGTATTATATTCAACGCTTGTTTAAATGAATTGGATTGCATCATGAAAAGGCCTAAATGCCAGGTTTAGAATTCATCGTGGCGAAAATCTGCACTCATGGAGGATGCGTCTGGCTTTATTTTGACCCAGACCCGTAGTTCGCCAATTAGTTGGTTGCTTTAAAGGGAACCTTCCAAACAAACGGGAAGAACGAAGCAACCTACTGGTCTGGGACTGTTGCTGAGCCGGCGTTCGCGAACAAACGGAGTATGCGATTCAAATGCCAGCCTCACATGCTGGCTTGCGATTGGCAAGCGGGCGACCGGCACCTCGACCTTTCGGATGTACTTGCATCTAGCAAATAGAATTGAGTTTGTATCAAAATGAGGGAATCCCTCAGACTGGGCGGTGCCTTTTAGCTTCCCAATGAACAAAACCCAAGACATACAAAAACACACACTAAACTCTGTGTTCATCTTCACGCGTCAGGGGGCTTGGATTTTTCACTGCACGGTTTTCCTGCACGTTAGGCGATCACTGCATGTCATGGGACGATTGACCAGTTGCCCGGCCGTGCGTTGAAGATTTGCTCACCAAACTTACCTGGAATATTGCCCAGTTTGTAGGACAGCAATTTAGCAGGACAAACTGAACAAACAGGTTGCGGTGATAGAGGGCAAACCAGCAGAACAAATCAGTCTAAAACGCACGCACTAAGCAACGGGTAAACCAGCAAGGCACATTGTGTTCAGGTGGAGGAGCCAAGCAAGCAAATCCTGCTAAGTTGGACACACCAACCAAACAAGTCATGCTTTTATCAGGCCAAACCAACAACACCAATGGCTTCAAGTACAACGCACCAACCAAACAGGTCGTGCTAAGCAGAACAAACAATTCATACACGCCTGTCAACACATGAACTCGCAAGTAAGACAACTCAACACAATAGGTCTTGTTTGGTCCTCCCTTAGTTGGACAAATCAACAAAGCAAGTTGTGTTTTTGTACAGGGCAAACCAACCAGACAGGTCGGGTGTCTAGCAGAAGATACCAGCAAAGCAAGTTGCGTTTTCAACATAGAGCGAACAAACAAACAAAGTTGTTGTAGTACAGAGCAAACTAATCCAACAAATCATATGATTGCGCCACACCAATGAAACAGATTCAGAACGGCGTGCTTTAACTTAAACCCAATACGGAAGACACATTGTCCGGGGAGTTCTGCCCCTAAGCAACCAGCCACCAAACAGGTTGTGCTTTCAATGTGGGGATCAGTCGAAATTAAACCACCAGGGGGCGGGGGTTTAGCCCTTTCCATTTCCAGGGTGTCATTTTGGGTGCCTAGGTTTCTATGTTTGACCCACACTCATAGGGCAAGTCAACGAAGTGCCCCAAGTTGGTCTTATGCCTTCCGCTGCCGAAGTTCCTTTCGGGCCATGCGGCCTCAGAGTGGCGTGTAGGGCGTATCCTCCGGCAGCGCCTGCGGGTTGGCTCCCGGCTCCCTTGCGAGCTTGAAGGAGCTTGGGGTTCCGTCGTTTGTTTTCTTCTTCTTTTCGATTCAAGCTGATAAAGCCAAGAAAAGGACATCAAGAAACCCCAAAATCCGGGATGAGAGCTCGCTATGCAGTCCCCTATTTGCTGGAATTTTCTGCGGTGCACTCTTTAGAAGCAAACCAAAGGGAAACTTCGAGAGTCGAGTCCTGGGGTGTGACGTCTCTGATTCCTTACCTTTGGCTGAGGCGAAGTGGCTCTGATGAAAACAGGCTCGCACGGGGATCTTTCGGGGGCGGGGACACGGAAATCATTTCGGGGGGACGACTCATTTATCTGTGGGCACAACCTGAATTGCCAGCAACAGCAACTCATTGTCATGAATTTGTTTGGATACTTTGCAGCAAGATTCCTAGAAGCATCCCTTGCCACAACCAGGTCCTCTTTTCGCCTTTCTTCTCCCTCAGACCTGCCCATGCTACGAAAGCAGGCTTTCCTGCTGGGCCCCTGTGGCTCCAGCCTGGGAGTCAATTCATGGCTCAGAGACTCAGGCGCTCTTTACACATCTGACATCTCTCTTGGTGTCAGGTTGGCACTTCGTGCCTTTCAAAGGGCAAAAGTCCGAAAGTGCGCAGCTCCTTAGCTGCTCTGTACTTGGGACAAATAGAAATCCTCATGAATTCGGGGTGGTGCCATCCAGCTGCTCTTGGGACTGGATTCTTGTCAAGGATTCTTCCGTGCTGGTCACCACCCCCTTTACCTTTCGAATTCCTGGTGTCTTGCGCACCAGGCTAAGGCGCAAAGCGGCCTAGGCTCGCAAGGGGGCTCCACCAAAAGCTGTGCCTGTGTTCAGGATGTTGCAGCAAGATTTCCAGGAGAACCAATCAAGAAAGTCACCCAAAATGGGGAGTCACCTATTGTGACACAGGTAGCGTTCGGAGTTTGCAAATTTACAGGAGTATTGTGAGTCGCCAGCACATGGGAGCTTCTCATTGATGGCATCGGACCTGCAAATCAAACACCTTTTTGTAACACAGCTTTCCCCCCTCGCCCATTAGGTTTCAGGTCAACCAAAACATGACACCACTTCGTTGGTCTCTTGCTGCAAAACACCTCGAACATCAATCACTCTTGATACCAACTCTCCAACAGGCCAGAATGACCACCATTTGGAGCTCAAACAAATTGTTCCCAAATTATTATTTCACCTGACAACCGTTCAATACGGCGCTGCTCATTTCACACGATTCACAAATCTCATGCCAACACATGGATGGATGTTTGAGCGCTACCCCGTGAATCTAAAGGAAGTACATCCCCAGCTTAAATCCTCCCTTCGTTGGCCAGACTGATATGTCATCCCACCAAAAGTGAACCGCTTGCTGATAAGGGAAGCTGGGTATGTGTCAAAATACGATTTGGACCCCACTGGTTTTGCTTTGGGCCTCCCTTTAAAACCACCCCAGAAAGGGTACCGTTAAAACACAGACACACACAGCCACACCCAAAAGCCAAAAGGGCAAATTGGTGAGTTCAGTCTGGCAATGCTTTGTGGAGCATGTTGCAATCGACTCATGTCATGGTAGGAATTGCGCGACACAGTCATGAACCATGCGGTATGCTCATGATCATGGTCCCGAAAGCAGCTGGAACTATTCTCTTTGTGTCCGTACAGAGTGTGATACTTTCAATTGGGCAGGCTATGCCATCTGCTTCTAATTGTATCAAACATAGTGGGATTTCCGAAAAAGGTGTTTTTTACTTTTGGTTTCCCTTTTGGCCCAGCTGAAAAGGGTACTTTCGCTTCAAAACACGATCCACGCCCATAATATCGCTCAGTCACACTGAAGCGTTGCGCCGCCCAGCTCAAGGATCCACCGGGCCTGAACAGGTTGGAGTCACCTCGCTTCCCTCGTGATTTGTGCTGGCGGTTTGAAGCTTGGTGGTTTGAAGCTGGTTTGGAGCTTCCGTTTTTAGCTTGGTGGAGCCGAATCACTGTCTTCTAATTGGAGGTCCCCTTTTGGAAGGTCGTTTTTTTAGGCCGTTTTGGGGAAGCAAGGGAAAATCCATGTTGGGGGATCCTGTTCTATTAGCAAAGCCTGTGCTCAAAGAGAAATCTAAACGGACCATCCATCTGACATCAGGGACCTTCTACCCATGCACTTCAGTTCAGTGCTTGGCATCGGGTGGACAATCCTGCACTTGGTGGCGTTTATCAACCAGTCTTTGGGTTTCATGCATCAAGTTACGAGGGAAAAGCCGGGCCCTGCCTTCCAATGGCTCCACGCCATCGCTCGCGTCGCTCGGTTCGCTTGGCTCCGTCTCACCCTCAGCCTTGCCAGACTCTGCAGCCTTGCCACGTCGCGAGGGGAACTTTACCTCCTGGTACTTTTTTTGCAAATAGAAGTTGCTTTTAATTACACACCCTTGATGTCACAGAAGAATCCGGTAGCATCCATTTGACTATCAGAGGTACCTGTGCAGGGACCGGCACAGCACAAGTCCATGAAAGCTAACGAAGGAACCCCCGCATCGGTTGCAATGCTTGAGAGTACCACCAAAGACGAGTGCAAGGCAATTCACAGGGCTCTTATGAGCTTCCATGCGTGGTTAGATGTGGGGATATCGCAAAACGCCGGGAAATTCTATTGGAAGGCTCCCAGGGTTTTGGCCGGATCTCGGCCCAATCGAACTTCCTGCAGGCTTCCATTTCATCGCCGGCCTGGTCGCCGTTGATGATTCTGCCACCATTGCAGCACTCCAGCACCACTCCATCAGGTGTGGGGCAGCAAGATCCTGCGCTTTCCAGCAATCCGGACCGATACGAAGGGCATTTAGTCGTTCAGTCATGGCTCGTTCTCTTTGGTTTGCTAAGGTGAAAGGGTATCGGAAAAGACTCACGGGGTGTCAAAATTGGGCCCCCAAAATGGTTGGTTTCCTTGTGGCTTCCTGTTGAAACCAACCAAAAGTGGGTGCCTCTGGCGCCTGGTTCCTCTGGTGTCTCTGGTGCCTCTGGTGCCTGTGCTGGTGCCTGCCAAAGGTCCCGATAACCCGCCCGGCCTGTCGTCAAGTTCAGCGCCGCGCAGAGAGGGAAGATCTTGCAGGCTGCATCTGGCCCCAGTGGATTGCAATGGGAAAAACTGTCTGCGCTCTTTTCTCGGTTTCTTAATTTTAAAGGGAAGCCCTCCAAAGAAGATGAAATTGGGCACTCGATTGTCTTTCTCATTTGGGACGGAAGGAAGGACAAACATTATATTTCTTCTCAGTATCTTACCTCTTCTTTGTTGTTGCAATGATAGAATGGAATTATGATTATAATTATTGTTGATCAAGTGCTTTTCCAACATCTTATGTTGGATTTACAGCGGTTCCCCCCCACCAAAAAGAAAAGGAGCACAAGTCACCTACCCAAAGGACCTGAAAATAAAACAGTTCCCTTGCGGGACCCGGTCGAGCTGACGAGAAGTTGAGCCGCGTGTCGAAAGCAACGCGCCTTGCGGCGCCGGCGCGGGTGTGGCCGAAACCTCGCTGAAGCAGCAGTCCAGCTCGGAGCCCTCCGAGCCGCTGGGTTTTGGGGTGAAAAGAAAAGGGAACCAAAAGGAACACACGACATGTCTCACTTCCTGGGTGGATGGGTCAAAGAAGTGGATGGGCCGAGGCTGGGTTTGGGGTGAGAAAATGTTTTTGGTGCCCTGGACACCCAAAATAGATCCCTTTCTAGTTGACGTTCAACTTTTGGAAGTCCCCTTACTTTGACACACACACACACAAATAGACCCCACTAAGTAACGCACCCCAAAATCAATGCCCTTACTTTGACACAAGCCCAACTAGATCCCACTGATTGATTGACGTGCCCGAATAGACCCCACTGATTGACGTACCCCAAAATCATTTTCCGGGTTCACTGACTTGGAGACAAGCCCAAATCTACCCCACTGATTGGAGTACCCCAGAATATATTTTTTCCGGGATCCACTTCCCGAATAGAACATCAATTGTCCGGGGTCCCCTTACTTCGCACACCCAAATAGACCCCACTAGTTGACGTACCCCAAAATCATTCTTTCGGAATAGACCCCACTAATTGACGTACCCCAAAACCATTTTGTCGGTGTCCACTTGCCTTGACACACACACACACACACAGATAGACCCCACTAAGTCAGGTACCCCGAAATTCAATTTTGCGAGGTGCCCTTACTTTGATACACACCCAAATAGACCCCACAACTTGACGTACCCCAAATCGATTTTCCGGGTCCCCTCACTTTGAGTACTTTGAGGCAACCCAAAATCAATTTTCCGGGGTCCCTTTTACTTTGACACACACACACAAACACCCACGTTTCAAAATAGGGATTTGGACCCCAAATAGATTTCAGATTTCGGTTTTCCTATTGGTTTTCCTTTGAAGCGTGACGATGCCCTCAAACAAAGACAATCCCAGTTTGCACCCCACTTCCGGTGCCTCGGTGCAACATGCGCCCGAGGTGAGTCCCAGTTCTACGCAGCCGGCGTAGGCCGAGCAGCTGGTGGGCCTGTCCTGGAGAGGATATCCGGCGGACCAAATCGCTGAGTTGGGCGGAGAACAAGTGGCTACAGTTTGGGGCAGCATGGGTCAATCGACCTCTTGTGCAGGCCTACTTCAGTTCGATATGTAACCGAGCGCCCAGCAATCAGTGACACGTGTCAAAATGAACAAGAAATCTGACAAAGAGCTTCTCAAATTTGCCAAAACATAGCCAGAGTGGATGCCGAACCCGTGGGACGCAAAAAGGGAAGCAGCGTCATCCATCTGGGACAAACATAACTGATTTGGAACAACCCGGAATTCCCCAAAACAGTGTCAAGGTTGCGGCAAGGGGCCCGGAAAAAGGCGAGGCTGCGGAGAGAAAGGCAACGCTTGTCTTGGATGCGGGTGTGCTGACCCTGCAAACACCTGGGACCCCGAATTGGCTTCGGTTTTCCCTTAGTTTGCCTTTGAAACAAATGGAACCCACAAAAACAAGACACCCACCGCATGAGCTTTCTCAACATCGCCACATGCTCTGGCAGTGAGTTTTACATTGCTACAAACTTCAACATGCGTTGCTTTGCAAAGCTAAGCCGGGCGCTCCGAAGGGGGCAAAGGTAAACTTACACATAGACGTACGGTTGGTGGGACTATGCTGAGTCATGATGTCGTATATGCAAGTATCACTGCTTGTTGTAATTGCAAAACAAATGCATCCTAATCTCTAGCTCTCGCTCTCGCTCTCTCTCTCTCTCTCTCTCTCCCTCTCTCTCTCTGTCGCTCTCCAAGTGCACATATATACGATATATACATATATATATATAATTCTACGGTAGTTGCGGGTGTCTTTTTTGGGTGGTTTCAAAGAAAACCCCGAAGGAACTTGAAAGCATTTGGGGAGTCCAAACCCACATTCTGACACAGACCCTTTTTGTGTAATCAGAAACACCAATGTGCCAACGCACTTCTACCCCAACCTGCGAGACGTTCATCTCTCCTCACAGCACTCCAACTTGGACCCTTCGGCGCAGCAGGTACCTGAAAAAACAACCATATCGATCGGCAGGTAAGTTTTCCAAGCCAGGTTGGCAGACGGTTTATCAACCATTCATAGGGATTCGTCCGTCCCAAATGGCGCGAAGTGGGCTTTGTCCATCAATGAAGGAAAAGGAAAGCCCCAGGGAACAGTTGGGTGTTGTTGGTCATCTTGTGTGCTGCTGGTTCCTTTTCCACTCCCGATTCACGGCCTCAGGAATGACTGGGTTGAATGCTCACCTCGAAAAAAGGCTGGATTCCAGTGGAACTCATGGATTCTTCAGAACTGAAGCCAGAGCGGACAGCTGTGCCAGCCTGAACTAACAACTCCACTGCTCCATGAGCTGTTCCCCCTTTCAGCAACGGGCTGAGTTCTTGAGCCCCAGCCCAGAAGAACTGGTGGCCAGAAAGCGAAGAACGTTCTCTGCGCTGGTGGTGTCTGCGCAAGTACAGCGAGTTTTCGTTTTCTGCGCTGAGCAAGTGCGTCTGAGCAAGCTCTAAGCAGGTCTCTCTGCGAAATTCTCGGGGCAAGTTCTCGGTGCAAGCTTCTCCGCACAAGCTCTCTGCGCAACTATCTCTCTACGAGTTGCTCCGGGCAACTTTTTTGTGCGCGTCGTTCTCAATGCAAAGGGCCAAGCTTTGCAAAACACCTCGGATTTTGCACATCGACCACGCCGATCCCCGCAAAGGATCGCGGGGGCAAGTCAAATTTAGCAAACGTCATCGGTTTTTGCGCATCGACCAGGCAAATTTTGCACGTCGCCCAATTCCTGCAAAGGGTCGCGTGCGCACCTCAAAAAGTAGAGACAGCCCTCAGTGTTCGCACATTGACCACGCCAATCCCGGCAGGCCTTTCGCGGGTTTGGAGGCGGAGGCTCTTGCCATGCTAGGATTTCCGGGCGGTTTAGCTTCCTTGACATGATTGATTTTCTTGCTGGTGCTCAGCAGGGAATAAGGGAATGATCATGAATGATCCTTATAAACCATCCAACTGGTGGCTCCTTTAAGGGGACCGCTGGGTTCATTCCAATTCTCGGTCCCTACTGAGCACCAGCAAGTTTAGTTGCAAGGGAAACCCCAGCGCCCGCCTGTGGTGTGGCCAGCATTGACGCAGCCGCTGTAGGCAGAGCAGGCGGTGGGGCCGTCCACGCAGCAGTCCAGCATGGTGCCATTTGGCCCTCGGACGGGACCCATGGGTGCGTTTTTTTCAAGGTACCCTTTTTGGGGTTGGTTTGAAGGGAAACCAAAGGAAGTCGATTGTTTGGGGGGTCTCCAGAGGGCATTCGGGAAGGTACTAATCAAGCACCGCGGCTTGAAAATCCTTGACGATTTTGCCTGGGCTGTTCAAAATGAAGAGGGTTGGCCATGGTTGGCCTATCCGATGTTCCATGGGAAAACCACGACCCATGCATACCGCTTTCTTTTGTGACGGACAAAGTATTAGGGATTGCGTTGACGGTTGACCCCAGTTCGGGTGGTCCCCATGCTGGTCTGAACACTGGGTTACTCGAAAGGGGAACACTTCGGGAAACAAGGACATCTCCGGGTTTGATTTCCCCTTCCGTCCGACCATTTTTTGTTTCAAACACTCCTCGGACTGGGAACTTGCCCCTATACACCTTCTCGTGAGTGGTTGAATTCAACAGGAATACATGCCCAACCAGTTAGGCAGGTGTCGCTGGATTCCCCTTGAACAGTTGCAAGTTTCTGGTGGTTTCTCATTACTGCCACCTTGAAAGGGACGCCCAACAAAGAAAGGACTTTGGCAACACCTGGTCGAGGCTTTCTGGTTCCTCTCTCCAAAATGTGTCGCAAAATGGCGCCCACTTAGATGTCCGATCCACGTAGGTCACAAAAGGAAAAACAATTTCTGTGTTTGGTTGAAAGGGATGAATTTCCGGAAACCCCAAATGGTTTTGCCGAGTTGGCAATAGGTTCTCAGGGATGCTGAACACATGCATGAGAACAGCCCATATCCAATGGTGTCATCAAGCCCCCGCCAATCTCGACGCCATTGGCCCCAGCCATCAGATCGAAGATTGTAGCTGCAATTCTTAGTTTTCATGATGTAAGCTGTCAAAATAGGGTATCACCAAATTGCCTCAATTGGAAATGGACATATGTGCAGGTTCATCGTCATTCTTTCACTGTGGCCATGGGAGAAAAACAAAAGGCCCATGGCTTGTCTGTTTCTGTTCGGCGAAGCGAGGCACGAAGCTTGCCTTTTTTGTCTTAGGGAAAACTACCCAAAAAGAGACGGGCACAAAGGTCTAATCGCTAGCCTGGGGCATCTTCCCTTAGGAAACCTTGGCCCGGTTGCAACCGGCAAACATTAAAGGAACCAATTGTGTGGTGGATAAAACATTCTTAGTGAAGAACCCGACCCAGAAAAAGGTACGTTTCCGCCACTCAACAAAACAGTCTGGATTTTTACTGGCTCGCTTCCTAAGTGGATTGGTTCGAAAATCACATTTTGTTCGTTTACCACTAAAATGATCAACCCAAACAGGACAAACCCCGCCTGGGCTCGGGCAGCAAGTTCCGGTGGTCAGCCCCAGCTCCACACACTTGGGATATGCTGAACAGGAACTGACCACCAGCGACAAATTCGCCTGCCGTCAAGCAGGATGCCCCTGTGGAGACGAAAAGCAGAAATGAAGGTCGGCTCTAAGCTCACTTGAGCGAATTTGCTTGAAGGCACAACAACTTGTGGTCTGCACCAAAAGGTTGTAAGTCTAATTAGGGATTTCAGAGCTACACAACCATGAACAATTGAGATTGGGAGCCGGAATGCCTACGCAGAATGGAAGCAGCTTTCGGGCCAATGCTGTTTCCCTGCGAGGCGTTTGCCCAGCTGTTTCAATGGTTGCTTGTCGTACAACGTACAGTGTTGCTTTTGATTGCTTCACTTTCACGCACCAGCAACATGTCGAACGAGTGTTTTGTGATTCTGGTTTGTCTCTAAGAGGAGCTCCAACACCGGATGGTGGTGCCTTTGAGTTCCCGCGAAATCAACCCAAACGAAGGTAGCCGATCGGCAAAGAGGCACGGCTTCCGCCATCCCAACGATTCCAATCGGACCCGCCTGAGGAACCTTCGCCTTGGCGAGAAACCCCTCCGACGCGAAGGCAGCCAGTGGGGCCAGCAGCAGGCATCTCAAGCTGGACATTGTGCCTTGGATGGAACCCAGTGATTCCATTCCCGAGTTTTGTAGTTCAAGGGCTTGCTCACCGTTAAACATCAACAGGAGCATGGAGAAGGGTTGCCCACTGTATGGGGAACTGGTACCCACTGGGGACGATTTGTACGGGAATGACGCGGGAAACCCTGGCGCGGTTTGAACAACTCCGATGCACATGATAATTGCAGGCACGGCAGTTCAGGATGGTGTGTTTCAATCCCACTTGGGTACGGGTCAAATTTGAACCAAGGGGACAGCCGGTTTTAGTTCATGTTTTCACTTACGAGGGCAGCCGTTTCGGGGTTTCCCTATTTGTGACCCGTTTTGGGGTTACACCGGCTGAAATGGTGCCTGCCTCGCTCAGTACTGGACAAGCACATGGGCGCCTCTGGTCTGTGCAGCTGTTTTGAGCCTCTCCGTCGCTCGCTCCCTTCTTCCTTCCTCCCTCCCTCCCCTCACCTCACCTCACCTCACCTCACCCCACCTAACCCCACCCCACCTAACCCCACCCCACCTAACCCCACCCCACCCCACCCCACCCCAACCCACCCACTCACGCACTCACTCACTCAGTCGCTCAGTCACTCACTCACTCACTCACTCACTCACTCACTCACTCACTCACTCACTCACTCACTCACTCACTCACTCACTCACTCACTCACTCACTCACTCACTCACTCACTCACTCACTCACTCACTCACTCACTCACTCACTCACTCACTCACTCACTCACTCACTCACTCACTCACTCACTCACTCACTCACTCACTCACTCACTCAGTCACGCACTCACGCACTCACGCACTCCCTCACTCACTCACGCACTCACTCACGCACTCACACACTGTCTCACTCACTCACGCACTCACTCACGCACTCACACACTTACTTACTCACTCACTCGCGCACTCACGCACTCACTCATTCACTTACTCACGCACGCGCGCACGCACTGACTCACTGACTCACCGACTCACCGACTCACCGACTCACCGACTCACCGACTCACCGACTCACCGACTCACCGACTCACCGACTCACCGACTCACCGACTCACCGACTCACCGACTCACCGACTCACCGACTCACCGACTCACCGACTCACCGACTCGCCGACTCACCGACTCACCGACTCACCGACTCGCCGACTCGCCGACTCGCCGACTCGCTGACTCGCTGACTCGCTGACTCGCTGACTCGCTGACTCGCTGACTCACTGACTCACTGACTCACTCTGTCACTCACTGACTCACTGACTCACTGACTCACTCTGTCACTCACTGACTCACTGACTCACTGACTCACTCTGTCACTCACTGACTCACTGACTCACTGACTCACTGACTCACTCTGTCACTCACTGACTCACTGACTCACCGACTCACCGACTCACCGACTCACCGACTCACCGACTCACTGACTCACTGACTCACTGACTCACTGACTCACTGACTCACTGACTCACTGACTCACTGACTCACTGACTCACTGACTCACTGACTCACTGACTCACTGACTCACTGACTCACTGACTCACTGACTCACTGACTCACTGACTCACTGACTCACTGACTCACTGACTCACTGACTCACTGACTCACTGACTCACTGACTCACTCACTGACTCACTGACTCACTGACTCACTGACTCACTGACTCACTGACTCACTGACTCACTGACTCACTGACTCACTGACTCACTGACTCACTCACTCACTCACTCACTCACTCACTCACTCACTCACTCACTCACTCACTCACTCACTCACTCACTCACTCACTCACTCACTCACTCACTCACTCACTCACTCACTCACTCACTCACTCACTCACTCACTCACTCACTCACTCACTCACTCACTCACTCACTCACTCACTCACTCACTCACTCACTCACTCACTCACTCACTCACTCACTCACTCACTCACTCACTCACTCACTCACTCACTCACTCACTCACTCACTCACTCACTCACTCACTCACTCACTCACTCACTCACTCACTCACTCACTCACTCACTCACTCACTCACTCACTCACTCACTCACTCACTCACGCGCTCACTGACTCACTCACTCACGCACTCACGCACTCACTCACGCTCTCACACACTGACGCACTCACGCACTCGAGCACTCATGCGCGCACTCACGCACGCACTCACGCACTCAGTCGCACGGTCGTACGCTCACTGACTCACGCACTCACTCAAATCTGCAATCAGATAGAACCCATGGAGTCTTACAGAGCTAGCAACGTACTGTATTGAAACGGATCTGAGCCCTTTTCAGAATGGACCAACCGGGCCTTTCAGAGAACACTGCCATTCAACGCTTGAAGCGTAGAAAATTGTTCGTTGACAAAAGGAAACCAAATGAACCAAAACCAAACCAAGTTTCTGCCCCTTGGGCCATTGGGGCTTCGGTGCGAAAGGAGCAACCCTGAAAGAATCTGACTGGGGCTCCCGCAAAACCTCGCGGTTGGCTGTACAAACCGGAGCTGAAGCTGAATGCTGCGGACTGACAAACGAGTTGACACAAAAGGTTGCATGGGCCAAGCGCCTTCTTACATGCGAATCTAGATCTATGGGTGTGTGTGGGTGCTGTTTGAGGAAACCCTTTTTGGGGTTGGTCTCAAGGACACTAAACGGAAAACCACCATTTCGGGGGTCCCCATTTTGACACATTACCCATATCGTACACAGGTGTAGTAGATTGTAGCATCCTTTGCCGACTAGCTGTTGAAAGTTGCAGGATGTTGCAGGTATTTGCAGACGCCGACTCATCCATTGAAAAGCGAATCCACCAACAAGTTGCAGGTGTTTGCAGACGCCGACTCATCCATTAAAAAGCGAATCCACCAAAATGTTGACGTGAGCCAAGAGCGTCCCCCCCCTCGGTTGTCAGGAAATGCGGGCTGTCCAGCTGCCCATGCGAGGGGCTATGCCCTTTTAATGATACCCATGAAATTTGAGGGACATGCCAGCACAAATCGAAGCTTTTGACGAATTTAAATTGCAATGCAGTCGGTTTCAATAATTGGGTCTGGGTCTCTAATGGGGGGACTCCCTAAGACGTGTGGTTCTATATTTCGGGAGACAACCTCATGTTTAACAACAGCTGCCAGGTGTATCGGGATTTCGGTTTCTTCGCTTGACACAGGCACTGCCAACACGCCGCGTCTTCGCGCGTCACGCGTCACTCTTGGGAGTTCTGTTGTGACCCCCCAGTTTGAAAGGGGCTTGAAACGGGAAGTGCCCTTTGACCAAGCATGTATCAAAACTGGGGGATCCCCGCTCGAACAAAAAATAAGAAAACATGCTTCTCCCCGTTGGTTTCCCTTAAACCACCCTGACAAGGGTGCCCTCAAAAAAGGAGCCGATTCGATAGTTGGGCTACAACCTGTCCGGCACAAAAAGCGGCCGCGCCGGATCGTACTCCGGCGGGGACTGCTTCTGCAAGGAGGCCAAGTAGAGGAAGATGATAGAGAGGATACCCCACACTGAGCACAGGGCACCCTGAATCAAGTCCGAAGCAGCCCATTTGGCTCAGAGAATCCAAGTTTCCCTACAAAATTGACGGAATCAACACCTGCGTTGCTTCACAGGGAAGTGAGCCATGTTGGAGGCAAACCTGCTTTCCATTTCTTGGGGGGGGGAACCCCCCAATTCAATCAACCCGGTTGAGTAATCAATCCGGCGTCGATATGAGACTGCAAAGCTGCCCAATTCTCTCAAGGCCAATCGCTTCGGCTTTATAATAAATAATCCGTATAGTAGGCTCTGCGCATCTTATCAATCTTCTTCAAAAACGAATGATATCAATGCGGCAATACATACAGGAATGATACAGCGAATGCCAACAAAGACTCGAAAGAGCACGGAAGCAGTTAAGCATGCTCAAGCAAGTCCCAGCTACAACCATTTTTTTGAACCAAGCGGCCCATTTGAACGAAAACCTACCAAGCAAGCGCAAGCCAAACCAGAATCAAACAATCAATACAAGTAAGCGGCACACAAGCAAGCAAACAGGCGAGCAAGCAAGCAGGCAGGCAGGCAGGCAGGCAGGCAGGCAGGAAAAGCAATCAAGCAACAAGCAAGCAATTATCGAGGAAACGAAGCAAGCGCGCAGGCAGCCAAGCAATCCTGAAGGCAGGCAAGCAAGCACGCAAGCAACGAAGCGAGCAAGCAATCATGCAAACAAGCATGCATGCAGGCAAGCAGGCAAGCAGGCAAGCAAGCCACTAAGCATATTACAGCTTTTGGCCAACTGACCTTCGACGAACCAATCTAACCTATGTCCGATCTAGCAGGCAATGTTTCGCCGAGCCACTCAAGCCAACGATGACACCAGCGTCAATAATGGCGCGGTACGGATTGTCCAGCTGCTTCACGCCTGGTCAACTCAGCTTGAGGAGTCCTTGTGTGACCAACCAAAAGGGGAAACTCATGTCCAAATACCAAAAGGTGATCTTAAATCAATCTATCGGAGTTGAAGGACGCTAAGCCTCTCTGACTCAGAGATAGGGCAATGCGGGGCTTCGTGCGTAAGATTGAATCTCTGCCGATCTGTTCATCTTCAGTGTCCGTCCTACCTTCATAATTCTGCTCCTTTCACCCCGCAAAGCACCGTCTATTTTAGGCACCCCCCAAAGGGGGTGATTCGCATTGCGAAGCTCACATGCGACTCGACGGCTCAGGTAGATAAGATGCGCCTATGACCACAGCAAAGATGACAGAAGTGACCTGAGCACTCTCGATGGGATCGGCCCATGTTCCGGCAAACCTCACAGTCTCATCCTCACTCATTCACCTGCTCCCGGGACCAGGCCATGACGAATTTCAGACTTTAAAGGGGACTCCTCTTAGTCTCACCTCCTGGGTGGGTTGGCCAAAACAAGTCCAAACTTTTTATTTGCCACTAAAATGCTCTTCCCAAAAAGTGCAAAGTCCAGGATCCAAGTAAGTGCGTCATTCTCCCCCCGTTGAGTCATTCTCCCCCGGTTGGGGTGAGTGTTTGTTTCGGCAGTGTCTGGGGGGGTTCCGGGCGTGAATCCCTCCTTGGCTCCCTCGCCGCCCAGCTGGTGATCACCCGCTTGGTGGTGCCATGGAAGTAGCCGATGCAAAAGGCCGGCTGGCGCTACGCAAGGCGAGCGACACATCATGAGCAATGAATTGTTTTGCAAAACTCATGGGGTCTTTTTTTATACGAAACAAAACTCCGCCTCGTTTCTTGTATTGTTAAGCAATAGAAGAGCCTGAGAGGTCACCATTGAGTCTCCCATTTGACCATAGAAATCAGCAATGAAAGGACACCAAAGGAAACGGCAATTTTCTACCCCAGTGTGCGCAGTGGTTTTGCTCCCTTGTTGCTTTGACCTCAAGGTTGAAATTATCATGTCTTCTTTTATCTTGCGGGGATTTCCCTCCTGACCAGGCTTACAACGATTCTGTTCTCCCGGTGTGTTCTTCCCTTGAAACATCAGCCAAAAGAATCTGTTCTTGCTGGGTAGACTCCAATGAGACCCTAACAAACCATTGCATTTGCTGTCGTTGTTTGAACCGGGAGCCAACCTTATGGAAGTTCCCAGCGTCAATTTTATGAACAGACCTGGTGTGTCTCATGCATGTTGTGTATCACTGGCATCCATTTGGTTCCTTGGGCTCGACTGCTTTGGGAAACCGTGCCAGCCCAAACCTGGGGGCGCTGAAAAGCGTCGATCGCAATCACCCCGTGGGGCCTTGGGTCCTTGCTTTGTCGATTGAATGCCACTCGCACCCTTGTTTCCGCACATGGACTTCAGCCACTGAAAAAAGCATTGGTGATCCGGCTGTCGTTTGGGGAGGAGAAGGACAGCCCAAATTGTCACGCAGAAGTGAGGGACCGGGCCCGCATTTCCCTCGGTAACGCGTAGAAGTGTCCATATTATGTTCTGCTTACCGGGGGTCACTCTCTTTCAAGGCATTGCAATTTTGATAACCGGGTGAGGGTGTTCTACTAGGAAATCGCTCTTGATACCAGTCCGACAGAGTGTGCAAGAGATGCCGGGCACGCTGCCAAGACCTTGTGCCAAGAAGGTGCCGCCTCTGTCTCCTGGCACGCTTGACCCTGCGGCCCCCGGCAAAGCCAAATTTGCTCCCGTAGGCCTTACATTGCAAGGGTCCTGAGCCCCTAGCAAGGGTTTGATGCCATGCCCACCACAATCAAAAGGGAGCTTCGACCGCGACACGTGTGAACACCTGTTGGACTTTTTTTTATCCACAAAGACGTCTTGCCCATTCAAAGGACTTCTCCGTCCCTCCGGCCCATCAGCGACATGCCCAGCGGTTGCCCGCCTCAGACACCACCCAAGCTCGGGACACGACCCGAGGGGAGAAGCCCAGCTGAAAGCCCCGGTAGCCCTCGCGGAGAAAGCGCAACAAGTTCTCTGCTCAGCACAAACTTGTTTTGCGTTACACATGTTGGTGTATGTGCATTGTGTGTGTGAAGCGGTACGCATATGTGGTCTCTCTCTCTCTCTCTCTCTCTGTATTTGATTGTTTGTTTGTCTTTGATGTTGTTTGTGAGTGCAGTGGCCAGAGTTGGCCTTTCGGCGCATGCCGGGATTCCCGCCGGAGTCGGACCGGATCAAAGCATTGCTTCATTGAACCAAGGGGAACATCGAACAGCGCGGCCGAAAAGAGCATGAGGTGCAATGAGTTTTATGAACGTCCGTCTTGAAGCTTCTGAAATTGGAAGAGGGCATGAAGTCAAGACTCCCCGGTGCCCGACAATATATTGCGTCCAGATCTGCAAAGCGCTACATATGCCAAAAGACCCGCCACGCCAGCCCTTCAGCCAAAATCATAAACAAGCAGTCCCGTTCGAGACCTTGAGCGAGCCTTCCCTGATGCAACTCTCATCCAATGCTCTGCGGCAGCACAAAGCTCAAGTACTACTCAGCCGATGACAGCCACAACATCAAAACTACACCGGCATCTCCTAGCCGCGGGGAAGGCCTTGCTTTTAGACTTCCTTATTCGCATCCGTTTGTGCATTGCCACAATGCAGTGTGCTTCTAACCTCGTCTCCCTAGCGGCTAGGTTTTGTTTCGGCTCGATGCTTAACCAGTCCCGTGGGCGGAGAGAACCCGACTCTGATCTTTGAGGCACGATGGTTATGTGAGAATATCTCGTAGGGCTAAACGGCCAGCGCCCAATGTGACACAAATCAACTGGGTCAACCACGCCAGGTGCATGCCTTGCAGAATTCGTGTCTGAGGGTCAAGCAAAAACGTGCGCGTAGCTAGGCATGTCTTGCTTGTTTCTTCGTTGAGGTTCCCATGGAAAACAGGGCTTGCACCATAGCAACTTTGGGCCACTTCTGATCCTCACGCTCAACTCAGTCTGAAAGGACTTCGAGACTCTGCACGCTAAACGCCAAAATGCGGGTTGCTGTCTGCTTCATCCTCCTTGCTTTCGCTCTTTTGGATGCTTTCAGTTTGGGCTCTTTTTTGTGGCTTCCTAGTTTTTTGGCTTGCCTGCGTCATTTCCAGAAAAAGTGTGGCTCTTCTGTTCAGCTAAAATGATCTTCCCACAAAGTCATTGGGCAACCCAACAACAGAAACACAACTTGTTTTGGGAACAATTTTAGTGGTTCTTGTTTTGGTGTCCCCTCCTCGAAAACAGGACACGCCCACATAACAGAAGTTGCTTCGCAAGGCCTCCACATAGGCGAAAAAGAGGAGCGTCACGACGAGCAAGCCCCACTGCCACGTCTCCTGCAAGGTCCGCTTCGCTGATGTTGACACAAACACCCGGCGACCGTGCTTGTTTTGGGGGACCCTGTTTGGGACTGTACTAAAGGAACCCACCCATTTTGGGGGCGCCCCTTTGACCTTTCACAGAAACAATTTGCCGTAGGGAACCAAAAGAACAATGGCAATCCTGGGATCCACCGGGAAAGGCTGAAACCATCTTCGCTCTTTTCAAAAGCCAGCCCAGTCTGAAGGTGGCTTCCTGTACCGGAATGGGGAAGTTGGCCCGAGACACTTACCACAGCTGTTGCGTTCAAACAGCTTTTGACCAACTGCATGGACCGCTCTTTGATTGACTCAGCGACTCAATCCAATGAGACCCCAAGGTTAGTAAATCCCCTCCCATCAGCAAACACAGACTTGCGCAGGCAACCTTCATAGTAGTCTTGCAAAGGGTGTCTGTGCACTTCCGTTTGTCTGGGTGGGTCAGAGTTCCTCATGTGTTCCTTGACATAACCCGAAGAAAACTCCATGAAGATCCTTCCAAAAGGTACTGTGCCAAGCACCCAAAGCGGGGCATAGTCATAAACCCTGAAGCCTTGCAATGGTCTAAACTCCCTACGAAAGAGTCAATGACCATCAACCTGGGAACATATACTAACAGGGATGGTCACCTGGTAGTAAAAAATATTAACAACCACAATCATTCCCGTTAAGGGAACCACGGCCATAGAACACGAGTTGCGACTCCCGTGCCTTTAGCGGTTACACCCATCCATGATGCGCTGTTGATTCCAGCGTGCCGTGACAACAATGCTACCAACTTAAAACATAGATGCCATGACCATGTTTGGGACAATATCCATCCCTTACCAGTCAGGCACGGCTTTTATTATAAGACATCTGCCTTTCTATGCTTCAGTTGGGGCTAGCGGCAAGTTCGGGAAGCAAAACTACGCAGCTTCACTCTAAAGATATGCCTCATCTGACACCCATGTCAGTGGTGGCGAAAGAGCTCACTTGCGTGGATTGGTCAGAGTACGCACTCTTACTATCGACATCTAAAATCTTCCAACAAAGTTCCCCTCCTCCAAATAACATGGGTCCTGGATCCGACCATTTTCCTTTTGAAGGCACCCGGAACGTCAGGCTCGGGTAAGTGAGAACTGCTCTCGCCTCAATGGAGCCCAGACCATCTAGCACGATCGGCACCTGCAGTCCCGATCTTTACATGGGCAGCCGGCCGGCCCCTTTACCAGGAAAATGGTGTAAACGGGCTGGCAAAACGGGTGATGCTTTGCCCTCCAATTGGCTCCAAGCAAAACCGGTCCGCCAAGCGATGAACAGATACAAGACACCCAACAAGTAGAAAGTTCAAATAGCTCAGGGAGTGAGTCATTGATCATCGGTGCCGGTTGCGCAATGAGAATCGGTCGCAGTGCAAGCGAAGGATGTCCACAAACTGAGGGATCCTCTCAGACATGTTTTCTCAAAGCCCGAATGAAAGGCATCTGGAGGCCCAAAACTTCCCGCAAAGACCTGGGCCTTCCAGGACTTGCAAGGTGAGCAAGGCTGTCCACCCCCAAATCACTGCCTTTGCGGAGAAAGTGGGGTAGAACGCACTACCAAGGGCCATGGGTATCCTACTTGCCGTGTGCCGGGTGTGAACCATTGAGAACAATTGAGCCATGTGCCTTGGGTATCCTTGCACTGGTCCAACCCGAACCTCCGGCGGCTCGTGGGACTCGTCCCCACAAGGAAAAGGACAGAAACACCCTCTTTTGCCAATCGTGGAAGAGGATTGGGGAGGCTTGCGCCCATGACAGGAAGAAAGGTAGGGTGCCATAAAGAACTCCAATGGCTACACCCCTCTTCTAATTGCGAACTAAATGATTGCCCGCCCAATTTTGGTGTCCTTTTGGACAACTTAAGATTTAAGTTGCTATTTAGCATCCAGTTATAAGCTGGGCCTGCAAAAACCGGGGCACCAAGAACATTTCATGTTCAGATTCTTCATATGTTTTTGTCTACCCGAAAATCTATCACGGTTTGGTTTGGAGACCCAAAGGACATGGGCATGCAGAAATCCGGGGCCGGGCGCAACTTTGAAAACGCCGTAGGAGAGGTAGGCGACAACGCCCAGCACGCCCCACACCTGGAACGGCACGGGCGGGCCCGCCTCACAGCCCTGCAGTCCCAAAGGGCTATGTATATGGCATATCTTAATCGATACACAGATGCATATGTATATGTCTGTGTATATGTAGTATGTAGTATGTGTATGCATTTGCATGGGTGTGGACATGTAAAACAAACCTGTAGCTGTGCATGTACAGGTGATGATAACAATGAATATATATATATATATATTTATAGTACTGATTAAACATGGTACCAGCATACTCAGTATCACAAGCATGCACAACAATGCGCAATGGGACAAAGCAAAATATTGAAAATGCCCAACAAGAAGAGCACTGGTACGAGCATGTCGATCACACTCTGAACCTGTAGGAAACAAATATCGCTGGATGTTGCTCAAGAGGTCATTGACGCTTAATGAAGCTGTAGTTTTGCCTTCCGGCACGGGAACCTGGAAATTTTAACCCTGTCAAAACAGTGCCGGAGGTTCCCTGGGAACCTCGCTGATTTTCTCAGCTTTTCCCACCAGCCATTGGCCCCTGCCTGCACCGCTTGAGACCTCTCGCCAGCCTGGTAAGCGCGAAGCGAACCGGGCGACCCAAAAACCACAAGGCAGCGACCAAAGCCAATGACGCTTGGCTCTGCTAAGATGGACATAAAGGTGTTGTGGGCCGGAATGCAACCCCTGTCCGGGTTGGGGGCATGGGGGTCGGACTTGTTTGGCCATCCCCAGCATCACCGGCCTCTCGGACCTAACACTGCCTATTGGCTCTGGTTTGGTGGCAGTTGAGAGTTGCTCGGGGTTTCTAGGCTGCCTGAGATCTTAGTGAAGGCGGGTCTGGCTGATATCCACCGGCACAACTAGCAAAATGGTCGCTATCGCTGCTCAAGTGTAGTTGTTTCCTGGCCCGTTGCCATGGAACCTGACCGAGGGATTCAGGTTGTCAAGGTCGGTCTCTATGGCAACGTAGGTGGGAGGCTATGCCTTAGTCGCTGAGTGGACTGGCCAAAAAAAACGATTTTGTGTTTGCCACTCAGAAGGTGGTCTCTGGGTGGCCTACCCTTCCTTGGGATTCGGTAAGCTGCTGTCAGGGCAACACCGCTCCCCTCAGGCAATGTGAACCTCAGAATCCCCACTGCAGACAAACAAGCCAGCAATTCAAACGCATTTACGTCTTGCAACATTTCCCTATTGACGCACGTGCATGACATGACCTTTGACTACGAATATGCACGAATACTATCAACACCCAATGCAACGCATTGGGCCTTTTGGCACGCAGCCTTCAAGGCTCCACACCCGTAGAAGCAGTCTGTGTTGGGCAACCAACAGTGGGGCTGATATCCACTTCATGAGGCAACACATCCTTGCATCCCACAACATCGACTGGCGCACAACAATTGGGTGGTTCCCAAAAGCAAGGACCCTGCAAATAGAACTGCTTTGCTGTGGTGTCCGTTTAACACACCGCACTGGCTGGTCTCAATAGTAAGAGCAAACCAATCAAGTAAACAACATGAATGAAGAAGAGTACAATAGCCAAACCAATCAGAAAGGATGTGAAACATACACTTGGAACAACACCCACATTGGGCTTACCTCACACCTAGGGACTTCCCTCCAAAGCAGTTGGATTTTATTTAGGGACTCCACTGTACCAAAAACATGAAGGTTGTTCAAGATTAGAGGGTTTGAACACTTTGGACATTGGCTTGCCTCTCAAACGGAGAGGACCCTTTTTAAACGGCTCCGGGCGAATGGCTCAGCGCCTGCACGGATCCCTCGGTGCCGGCTCTTCCTCAGAGGGGAAAGACCCCAACACAAACCGAGAGTTGGGCCCGGACTACCTCCCCTCAAAAGGCGTGGCATCTGTGTCCTATGGGTTGGACACCCTTTGTTGGATGTTTAATCGGACACAACAAAAACACATTGGTGTAGCTTTCGACTGGTCATTTCCCTCTTTTGCAAACATCAGTTGTCCGCCTCCCTCTTTATTCAGGGCATCCAAACAGATCCCTTTCAGTGAGATAAACACCATGTCAAGTATGTGATCCAAGTGCGCCAAGCACAGAGCCACTACTAAATACCCAGGCCCAGATACGTGACAGCCGCAAAAGGGCATGCAATCAACCATATGCTTACCACGAAAATGCCGGCCTGCACGGGGGCACGTTGTTGTGAACTTCTTGGAGAACTTTGATTTGGAGGCTCCCTAGCTTTGCGGACAGTGCAGTGTGTTCAGGGAGGCAACTGGGGAAAAAAGACAAACCGTGACACTGAGCAGCTGACTCTTGGTTTTACCTCTAGTGAGGGTCTGAATAGGGTGTAACAGATTCGAGAGGCATTGCTATTCGCGTGAAACCGTGTAGAAATCCCCCAACTAAAGTGGTCAATTGGTGCTTCCCGCTCATTTGCCCTCTCTTCAGTTGGGGCCGCCACTGGGCAGAGAGGATCCTGGGCACATTCCAGATTCCGACAACAAGGAAAAAGGTATGGAGAAGTGGGATATGAGTATCTCCCTCGTAACCACAAAAGTCTTTGCGCTTCTCCATGCTCCTGAATCCCGAAAAAGAGAGCGAACATACATGTCAATCAAGTCCACCGGGCCCCAACCACTGGCGACCAACCACTTTTGAAGTGGTTTCCTAAAGCAAAATCAGGGCCTCATCAATGTGCCATATCGAGCATCCCAAGGTGTTGGCCATGTTGCCATGAGGAATTGTTGTCGGAAGGATGATGGTTGTCCAAACTCCCGAAAGGGCCGATAATCATACCTTGTACAAAATCTCTAAGTAACTCCCAAGTAAGCAGGTCTTCTAACTCCCAATTGGGTAGTGTTTTTTGTTGGTGCTCGGGGCCTATAAGCTGCACACATGCCTACGCGAGCGCCTACGCAACGCCACCGCGACTGCAAGGGGCGCCTACGCGCGCACGTTTGCCTCTCGTCGCGCCTACGCGCACGCCTACGCAAGAAATTCGCGCGCCGCTTTTTTCCAGCTCGAGCTTTGCAATGCCAAGTCTATCGTTGTCTGACACAGATGCAGATGATGTAGAAGAAGCAGATGATGTGGAAGATGCTTGCGCCGCCAAAGCGTGATAACATGTTTGATTTCCCAGGGATCCCCTTTGTCATGGCTCTGAATCAGCATTTGAGCAGTGTTGTTTTGGTTGTTTCGGAGCCTATACACTACTTGGCGCCTACGCGAAGGCCTACGCAAGCCTACGCGGCCTGCGAGGGGCGCCTACGCGATCACAAGTCAGTCAGCTTCCAGGTGCCTACCTACGCGGGCAAACGTTGAGTTCAAGTGTCGAAGTGCACTGTGGCAGCTCCAGCTGGAAAATCGCAACTTTTCAGCGCAAGTGCAGTTTTGGCAGCTCCGGCTCTAAGATCAGAAATTAATGCAGTACAAGTGAGAATCCAACATCTGTCCAAGCATCTGGCTGCTAGAAAAGGTCTACGCACCCAAAATGCCTTGAAAACCTACGCGAATGCCTACGCGGGGCCTACGCGGAGCCTACGCGAAGACTGCAGAACAAACAGAAGGAAGGCAAAAGAAGCAAATTCCTTCATACGTGGCAAACAGTCATGCTTTGTTCAACAAACGCCTACGCGAAAAAACCTACGCGAGGGGTGACACAACAGCCTACGCGCTGAAGCCTACGCGAGCCTACGCCCCCAACCAGGATTGCCTCCGCAAAGTACATGCAGTTCCCTTTTTGTATAAACTCTTTCATTTGATTAAAAACCGCTGCTCATTTGAACAGTGGACAGCCGCCATTATATGGGCGTTCGTTTTACTGGGGGACCCTTTTGATGGACATATCTGCGGGTGATTCATGTCCGCCAACCACTTTGACAATTCTTAGCCATGTTGGTTCAAGAACCCTTTTCTCAGTGTGTCTGCAACAACTCAGCCAAACCCATGCCCATCCGTATGTATTTAAAAACATAAAGCTTCAGACAATACGTAACAACTCCATCAAGTGCCTACGCGCGCGCCTACGCAAGAACAAATACAAGGATGTGCGCGAAATGCCTACGCAATGCCTCCGCGCGCCTACGCCCCCCAGATAAATTGCCTACGAGGACATGATGCAGTTCCCTTTTTGTATAAACCTCGCTGTCCAATTGCTCTTGAGGCAATGGTCATTTGAAGCAATGCTCGAGAGGCGGTTGGGCCTCCAGCACCGTTGGGAAGCAAAGCTACAAGGCTTCTCTCAACTGGCCATGATTGAAAGATGTCACTCATCCGCGGGTGCCTGAAATTGCCAGGAAGCAGCCTGAATGAGAAATGTTGAAGGAAGCTCTCGCCCGCCGAACTGGACGCTCAATGTTTGCTAAAGGGAACCCGCACAAAAAACAACACCAGGGTTCAGCACATCAAAATACAAGGGCATCAATTACGTTTGCATGGGCATGTGTGTAAGTTGTTGTTCGAAGCGAAATCAATGGGAAACCACCCAACTTCGTGTTTTTGTCTGGAACTTCATTTTGGATGTTTCCCCTATGTCAAGACAAACGTCTCCGTGGGGAGAATGTGCGGCCACTACTTCCCTATCCACAAAGCGAAACTGGGAAAAAATCCTTCAGCCTGCGGCGCTAGACCCAACCATGACATCTGCCCGGCCTTCCGTGAAAGGCTCGGGTTTGTCAGACCTGAGTCGAATCAATGTGTCCGGCACTGTTTGGTCCCGAAAACCCTAATATATATATTGAGTTGCCCTGAATAAGGGGCCGTGTTTGGACCCAGTCGCGTTCTTTCGTCTCAAAAGGCGTCCATATCCAAGTTTGGCAAAACCCGCCCACAGGTCGGGGCTCATTCTGGCTCGGGCACTACGTTCGAAATGTAGGTCCCAAGACTGCAAACACGAGCAGCGACCGAAGCCGCTCGACTTTTGGTTCACAAACATGCTTATAAAGGTTTGAATACAGTATATGGGTCTGTCATTTTTAGGGGGTCTAAATGGTGGTTGTCATTTTGGTTTTCCTTTAACACCATAGAGAGAGAGAGAGAGCATAAAACAAGTGGGAGTTACACTCAAACAAATATACAGCCATATCTTGTTCAACCATGCAGTAGAACCACCAACTAAAATGACCCAGTATTGTTTGCCGCTGCTCAAATGCCTGCGGGGGATCACGGTTCTCTCAGCAAGCTGGGTGTTGAAGGGGGTCTGGCAAAAAGAAACATCCCCGGTTGGGTTTGCTGGGAGAATGAGAGTTCATGGAATATGATGGCTCCCGCAACAATGGATCCTCATAGTTGGGCCCCCTATTAATAAACCAGGGTTGATTGATATGGGGTCAACATTGCTAAGCCTCAAGTAACCCTGCTCAAGGAAGGCGCCATTGCCAACTGAAAGTGGGGTATAGACCGCCTATGGCCCCTTTCCGACCCTGGTGCCGCAGAGGTGACGGTGACGCCTTGCAAAGCGAATGCCAAAAAGGACCCCCAAAGGCCCCCGAATTCCCACTTTTGGCAACCGGCTGAAAGAAAAACAATGAACACTTAAAACAGTGGAAAGACTAGTTCGGTCCGGCAATGTTCAGCGAGCCAAGTAAGGGAACCATCGCCTTTCTGCCATGCGCTTGCGACTCGGACCGAGCCAAGCCCCAGACCCATCAGGCCGATGTCTGGCATCGGACACCTGGGTAACAGCAAACACTCAACGGGCTTGTCCGAAAACCCACCGGAGGGGGGGGGAGGGGTTGGTCCTTAGTTCAGCTTCAAATAACACACGTGCAAGGTGAAACAAGTAAGACACCTAAGACATCCATGATTTGATGGCTCATGATTTTGAGACACGTCATTTCTGTCACGCCCATTGGTCTTGCCACCCTCCAGGCTGTCGCATTCTGAGTCTCCAACCGGCTTGGGCGAGAGCGGCACGAACAGATTGGAAGGAATCTGACAGACATGTCAATGGGTGCATCCAATTGTCAAACTATGGGCCTTGCACATGTATGCAAGCATAGGCAATTTGACACCCAATCGGGGGCTGGGAGCACGGGTTTGATGAAGCCATGCCAAAACACGTCCCTTTCGCCAAAGGCGGGGGTGAAATAGATAAACCCTGCATAGAATCGGGCACTCCGCAAGACTCCCGAACGAGCCTCCCATGATGGCAGCCTCAAGCAGTCAAGTGAGCACGGGGGTACCAAAGGGTGGCCCTTATGCTACCTTTTGTGGCTGAACAACTCAAGACGAAACCTACTACCAGGGCCAAGTATTACAGTTGGGTTGTGGAGCGCAATTCAACCAAATAGCTTTCGCCGTGATTGTGGGAGAATCAGCCTTTTATTGCACTTCAAGGAGACCATGAAATTTGTTCCATTGAGGTGGTCGAAACAGGACCCTGCACACAACGCTCCCAAGCACCTATGGAGAGAATGCTGGGCTCGCAGCCGGTGACACAGTGGCAACCAGCGACCCACCAAACACTGTAGTGGGGAACCCATCAAACAAAGGATCTAGGATTCTCACTAGGACCTGCTACATATTTTGGGGAGAAGGAGGGGTGGAGGGAGGGGGTTAATTACTCGTGAAAAGCGGGGGTCTTCCGCAACTCTCATGTCCTACGCTGACCTGCTCAGTTGTCCGGCCGGGAAATTTCAGCAAACTGAGGAAACCTGTAAGGTAAGGATCAAAATTCACAATTGCCAACACGTGTAAGAATCAATCAATTGCCCATGGCTTCTCAGCACTCGTGATGAAGAAACCTGTTCACAAAAGGAACTGGTAACCGGGCTGTCCTCAGATCCCCCACTCAAAGTGTACAGTAACTTTTGGTGGGTTACGCAGAAATCCCCACCAAAAACTAAAGGATCTGAAAACCCAATGAACCAGATGGCTGGGGTTCCCACCAAGCTAAGCAGACCGACTCCAAGTTTGCCAATGCAACCGGTAAGTACTACACACGACCAGCGCCTTCTCGGATTTCGTTTTTTGCTTGGGGTTCAGGCACCGCAGCTGCAAGCAGCACTGGCCACAGGCGGGGCCTGGTAGGCTTCACTATAACTCATGGGGCTGGGGGCAAGGGAGCCCTTAATAAGGCCTTCATAAGGGATTTTTTGAGCTCCCCATGATAACTCCGGAACCTCCCTCCTAAAATGGACAATGGGGGTTCAACGAGTGCTGCTTGTTGGTCGAGTTGTGAATGAGCAAACAGGGGCTCCAACTCCTTGTCCCTTCCCAAACGAACAGACTACCTTTGAAAGTTGCTCTCGTTTCAGCGGTTGAAACGTTTTTATGCTGGGCACGGGAAAATTGAAGAGCTCCCAGGTATTTGCCGGGAACATAGAGAGCCTTGTGTCACTGCCACATAGGCCATCAACTACCCGGGCATAAACTACTGGTACTGGATATTTTGACCGAAACCTTGATTCATCAGGTGGTTCAGCCCTCATTTCATTGTCAAAACACGCATTCGGGGTCCAAATTCCCCCCCAAAACGAGCCAACTACCTGCAATGTGGCCAAGGGTGGTGCTAGACTATGCTCGTCAAAATAGGGACTTGGGCCCAGGGAAACGGTTGGTTTCCTTTCGGTTTCAAAAAAGGGCTGCCCCAAACATAGACACATCCACATGCAACATAAATCGCCCAAGTTGACCGTCGAAGACATTGGAACCCATGCCTTTGCCCTCTTGCCTGAGCCTGGCCGCTCGCGCCATCCCTGGCAATGGCTAGAGTTTCTTTCCTGATCCTTTGCGTGGCAAGGGACCCGTGTTGACCATCCACGCTGAGACCTGAAAGAAAATGGTCAAGGCAAGCAGGGACTCCCAAGTCCCCCTTCAACAACAGCTCACGTTAAAATGGCACAACCGAAACAAAACAGGAAAACAACATGAAGGAAGCCCCGGATGTATTTTACCCTTGATCAAAATGGTCCAAAGCACCTCTCGCCCAGTTCTATGGTGGGATGGTTATCAATGGTCCCACTCTCCAAGAGTGCTATATCAAACATGTGAACACCAGAGAGGTTTATATACCCCATTCGCAATCAAACAGAGGCAAGTACTATTCACATGGACCCTGAAAAAGGACTTCCGTTGGGGTACCCTTGAAGAGATTCCAAACTAAGGGTGTTCTGAATGTACGTGTGCACGACACCCATGCCTCCCTCACGCCGGCCAAGCTTTGGCGCGGCCGTCTCGAGACGGCCGAAGCGGCTGCGCAAAAGCGGCCCCAAGTTGCTGGTTTATTGGGCGTGTGTTCTGGGGGGAGGTGAGCTCCCTTTCGGTTAGTTTTTAAAGAACAAAGGAAAATCACAACTGTTGACGCATACCCATATTTCATTATATTTCCTCTTAGAACACCACTCTAAAATCAGTCTGAGCATGTCCTGGTGCACGATCCTGCAGATGGCTATGCACCTCTCACAAAACATCAATTTATATTCGGTGACATGCGTTGAGGATTGTGCCCAACAATGAACATGTTTCCAAAGCCACACATGCATCATCCATCCGCAAAAATAATATGCACTCTGGCCGCATGCGTGTGAACTATCTTGGCAAAGCACACCCAACAAATGTCAGCAGTTTTATCTGACGCCAATCATCCGACGGGTGTCCAATACAATTGTAAGCATGTATGTATGTGTGTATGTATGCATGTATACATGTATGTACAGTATACGATAGTACATACACAGTACTACCTGTAGCCTCAGGCTACAAGATGGGCAAGCTGCATGGCCTCATAGCCGAAGCAGAATGACCTCCCTACGACAGCAATCAAAAGCAAGCATGCACATTTCCATACGCGCATATTGCCACCAGCCCCATCAGAATTTCACCAGCTGCATTCCAGTGTATGACCTATGCATCTTTGGCGGCTCCACAAAAACACTAGCAACACACAAGCGCAACAAGAGCACAAGGACATTGTTTTGCCAGCTTCTTCTAAAGCAAGCGTAAATACCAACCAGCTCGTTGTTTTTGGCACGCGGCCGATGAGCCGCGCTGCAACTGTGTTACAAACTGATGCAACTCGTGAAATGCTTCATAAATCACGCGCACACACACACAAGCACGCCCGCACAGCACTGCTCGCGTGCCTACCAAATGACAAGCACACTAGCGCAAACGCTCAGGTGCACCCGTTCAGCACTGCTCACACTCCTGCTAAATCAGAAACATGTGCTCGTCCAGACCCTTGAACATACAAGTTTCGCTGACGCAACATGATACATTTGCTGCTTTGCATTGGAAGCACCACGTGAAATGGACCTCTGTGTTAGTGTCGCTGGAAGATACCATCAAAGAAGCACTGTTTTGTTTGAGGATATTGGTTGGCGGGGGCTCACTGAAATCGTTGACAGCTTCGGGGCGGCTGAACAGCCGCTTCCCTTATTTTAACGCATGCGCGTGCGACGATACATGATTGTACACTGCGCAGTGTAATTTGCAGAGCGCAAATTGCAAATGGGTGTTTCTCAAAATTGGAGACCCCTCCACGTACTGTTGGTTCCCTTTTGAACCATCCAAAACAAAAAGGGGTTCCGTATTTGAGACACACCCAAATTGAACAAGCATGCTGTCGCACATGCGCTGCTCGCTCTCGCCAAATTCTCAGAAGTTCACGTTACAAGTCCAGGCTCAAGGAGTCGCTCTCCTGGCATTCGGATGTATGAAACAGGGGACCGCGGGCCCCAAAGCGGAGTTCGGCACGCCAAGGGTACCCTCGAAAAACACACAGCTGTTGGCGTTGTTGCTTACGCAACCAAACGCGTCGCAAGAAGTGAGTTGCACACATGCAAACCAAACAAAGAAGAAAGTGCAATCATTCCCTTCGAAGTGGCCTCTGAAAACACGGCCAAGCTTTTGCAGCATGTTGCCAGTTTACACTGCCCCTTTGCTCATTCCGTTCTGGATGGCGTGCTATAATTTGCAAGCAGGGAAGAAGCTGCAAACAACAGAATTGCAGACTTCGGACGCAAAAACTATCTAGCCCCATCTCGCTCTCGTGTTTTTCTATGTTGTTTTCGTCCGAAGGACTTCCCAAGCCAAGTTCGGCGTAAATTTCCGTTGACCCTTTGGTGGTCATTGAAATTCGTAGCCAAGGCGACCCTCCGCTCGTTACTATCCCACGGGCCGCGCCTTAGCCTTGGAACCGGAGACGTCGATGTCGCCATTCCTTGAGCAAAATCTGTTCCCAGACCCTCAACTTGAATAGAAAAACCAAGGGAAGTTGTTTAACCGTGGATTGAACCTGCTTCACCTACTCAATCTGGGCCATTGGCTCAGGCGTGGTCGAGGTTGCATTCCGCGCGCTGGCACTGGCCATTATTGCATATGACTGCCATTGGCAAATGCTCCGTAATCATGTGGGAGTGCCCTGTCATTTGAGCGGAATATGCCACAGAAATCAGCTGAGTGCAGCCATGCAGCGCGCGATCATACCTGAGAAGCGGGTCTGCAGGCACGCATCATTTGACGTTGGGGCGTTGCATTTGAGCCCCAAAAACCAATCCTTCCAAGCGAATCGACTCTGGTCGCGCGCTGAATCCGCTGCCAACACACCCCTGAAAGCCAAATGGACCATCCAAGAGGCCCTCCTATTAAATTAAAGGACCGGATAACCCCACATGCTATGTTTTTCCCAAGGATGTGAGTTCAAATGTCCACACACATGTACCGTGCGCCCCTTGTATGGATGCGATTACAGAGCACCCAGATGCACAGAATGCAGCGCCTGCCACGACTTCGGCAACGGCATCGCCAAAGTGCTGCGCCTGCCACGATTTCGCAACGGCATCGCCAAAGTGCTGCGCCTGCCACGATTTCGCACACCCCCCGCCGCGCGCGCGACAACATCCTGTCCCTCTAGACAGCTGCCGAATGCGACCCCTGCCACACAAACACACACCCAGATGCACAGAATGCTGCGCCTGCCACGACTTCGGCAACGGCATCGCCAAAGTGCTGCGCCTGCCACGATTTCGCAACGGCATCGCCAAAGTGCTGCGCCTGCCACGATTTCGCACACCCCCCGCCGCGCGCGCGACAACATCCTGTCCCTCTAGACAGCTGCCGAATGCGACCCCTGCCACACAAACACACACCCAGATGCACAGAATGCTGCGCCTGCCACGACTTCGGCAACGGCATCGCCAAAGTGCTGCGCCTGCCACGATTTCGCAACGGCATCGCCAAAGTGCTGCGCCTGCCACGATTTCGCACACCCCCCGCCGCGCGCGCGACAACATCCTGTCCCTCTAGACAGCTGCCGAATGCGACCCCTGCCACACAAACACACACCCAGATGCACAGAATGCTGCGCCTGCCACGACTTCGGCAACGGCATCGCCAAAGTGCTGCGCCTGCCACGATTTCGCAACGGCATCGCCAAAGTGCTGCGCCTGCCACGATTTCGCACACCCCCCGCCGCGCGCGCGACAACATCCTGTCCCTCTAGACAGCTGCCGAATGCGACCCCTGCCACACAAACACACACCCAGATGCACAGAATGCTGCGCCTGCCACGACTTCGGCAACGGCATGCGCCTGCCACGATTTGCTGCGCCTGCCACGATTTCGCAACGGCATCGCCAAAGTGCTGCGCCTGCCACGATTTCGCACACCCCCCGCCGCGCGCGCGACAACATCCTGTCCCTCTAGACAGCTGCCGAATGCGACCCCTGCCACACAAACACACACCCAGATGCACAGAATGCTGCGCCTGCCACGACTTCGGCAACGGCATCGCCAAAGTGCTGCGCCTGCCACGATTTCGCAACGGCATCGCCAAAGTGCTGCGCCTGCCACGATTTCGCACACCCCCCGCCGCGCGCGCGACAACATCCTGTCCCTCTAGACAGCTGCCGAATGCGACCCCTGCCACACAAACACACACCCAGATGCACAGAATGCTGCGCCTGCCACGACTTCGGCAACGGCATGCCAAGTGCTGCGCCTGCCACTGTTTCGCAACGGCATCGCCAAAGTGCTGCGCCTGCCACGATTTCGCAGCCCCCGCCCGCGCGCGACAACATCCTGTCCCTCTAGACAGCTGCCGAATGCGATGCCACACAAACACACACCCAGATGCACAGAATGCTGCGCCTGCCACGACTTCGGCAACGGCATCGCCAAAGTGCTGCGCCTGCCACGATTTCGACAACGGCATCGCCAAAGTGCTGCGCCTGCCACGATTTCGCACGCCCCCCGCCGCGCGCGCGACAACATCCTGTCCCTCTAGACAGCTGCCGAATGCGACCCCTGCCACACAAACACACACCCAGATGCACAGAATGCTGCGCCTGCCACGACTTCGGCAACGGCATCGCCAAAGTGCTGCGCCTGCCACGATTTCGCAACGGCATCGCCAAAGTGCTGCGCCTGCCACGATTTCGCACACCCCCCGCCGCGCGCGCGACAACATCCTGTCCCTCTAGACAGCTGCCGTGAGTCAGCGAGTGTGAGTGAGTGAGTGAGCGAGTGAGTGAGTGAGTGAGTGAGTGAGTGAGAGAGTGAGTGAATGAGAGTGAGTGTGAGTGAGTGAGTGTGAGTGAGCGTGAGTGAGTGAGTGAGTGAGTGAGTGAGTGTGAGTGAGTGAGTGTGAGTGAGTGTGAGTGACTGAGTGTGAGTGAGTGAGTGTGAGTGAGTGTGAGTGAGTGTGAGTGACTGAGTGTGAGTGAGTGAGTGTGAGTGAGTGAGTGTGAGTTGAGTGAGTGTAAGTGAGTGAGTGAGAGTGAGTGAGTGAGTGAGTGAGTGAGTGAGTGAGACGGAGACGAGCGGGAGAAGGAGAAGGAGACGCGGCGCGCGGACGACGAGCGGAAAAAGTAAGAACCCCACACAAAGATGTGGGGAAAAATCAGAGCGTTTCGGCACGTGATGCCTTTCCAGGCTGGGAACTGACTTGCAGGTGCTTCAGCAAACTGGGAAGCCTCCCTTTCATTGTGAGTGTTGCGTTGGTCTCCAACATTCCAAAAACCTGAAAGATGACGTCAGGTGTGCTCCAACGACCTCGAACAGAAATGTGGTCGTGGGCAAAACGAAAGGACTCGCTGTGCGTTCGACTGGTTTGATCAAGAAAACCAAAGGGAGCAACCCCAAGGGAGCTGCCTGGGAAGAAAGCGGAACCTGCCAAATAAAAGGAAAACAACTGCTCATTATGAGCTGGCCTTTCCCTGTACAGATGGGTGAGAGTTGATAGCACAATTCCCCCATGACGGTTTAGTCATCTCACTTACCAACGGAATTGAACCATCTAGTCTTTCCCTCTAACGGTTCTTTACATCTTGGGTAGACCCATTAAATGCCACCTAGTCTGGGCTGCGCAACATGGAGCGTTGGCCAATCCAGAATCCCTATACAACCTCTATCAAGCAGACCACATCCTTTCGGAACCCAAGGATCTTGCGGTTTGCCTTTGGACAGCCCACCCTTGCGGGTGTGTCTTTCTTTGAGTGATTTCTTTAAAAGCTTGGCTTTAAGGGGAAACCAAAGGTACAACTACCATGTTGTGGAAGAGAGTACCCCTAAACCGTCAAATACCACCGCGTGATTCCATTTCCCATAAACCAAACGGTTAACCTTCTCGACGTGCGGCGCGATGAGTAGCTCGCACACGCGGTCCACATCTTCCAGCTCAAGCCCGTGGTGGGCGCCGATCAGGAACCCGTCCTGCAGGTTGCAAACGGCGACCTCAAGTTGCTCAAGTCCCCTTAAAAAAAAACAAGAAACATATGACCAGTAATTACTCATATCCCCGTAAAGCCAAGAGAATAAAACAATTTGCTTGAGTTCTTTGAAGAAACAAGACAAACATGTTTGGTGCTCCTAGATCCCCCTTTTTCCAGGAGAATACAACATACTCCGAAAGGCAACAAACTAACAACTCAAGGGATGGCTCGGTTCGTGGTCATTCGCTTCATGGTTACTGGTGAATATGATTTATGAGGCTGTTGTTCATGAGGGTAGTTGTGTTGGAAGCACGGAACTAGTGACCGCCATAGCTTGCCTTTAAATCAGAGAATCCACAAAATGGGTGGTTCCTCTCAAAACCAGCGAGCATTTAGCTAGCTTCCCTTTCCCTTAGTATCCCCTAGAAAATGGGCCAACGCCTTTTCTACAATTGCGGAGTTGAGGGAAATAGTTTTTTTTTTTTTTTTTTTTTTTTTTTTTTAAATAAGAGAAAAACAACGCGTTTGTCAGAGACCTTCTTAGATTCCATCCCAGAAATAGGCCGTATAACGGGCGAAATGGATAATTTTGAGATCTCTGACGGTCCATGAAAATTGGACCTTCCAAAGCTGAACCAAATTATATCAGGCTCCACTGACCATCAAGAGCACATCTTTATTGGGCAATTTGACTTGCAAGAAGGAGTCCGTGTGCAACGTTGCTTGAATCCCGGCCAAAAGACGAAGCCTTTGGGAAAAGCTTCGACTGGCACACGAAAGACGTCAACACAAGCACGAGAAAGCACGAGAAAGTAGCTTGGTACTGGGAATACCGGATTAATAAACCCATTCTATTGATAGGGGGGTGTCACCATAAAGTGATCCAGATCCCACTGAAATGAGACTCCCCCCGATCAAAATCCATCGGGGGCGCATCAATCCGGGATTAAAATTACAAGTTGTTGATTGCTGAGGGTTAGTGTCGAAACCTCAGGATGCCAAGGGCACTCTTCCAGTCGGATTCTGAAAGCTTCGGGGATATCAATCGACATCCCGACGAACAAAGGGACACCTTCTATGCGCTGCTTTTAGCCCAAAGGACCCAGAAATAAAAGGGTGACCTTTTCAAAGGTCAAAAGGTCGGCGGTGAGCAACTGAGTGCTAGGAGCAAATCATTGACACCAACACAGAAACAGTCAATGCTGTGCCACAGCCCCAGTCCTTCATGACTTGGTCGGCACCGGGAAATGCTTGCAAGTAATGCCGGTAGGCTGGGTGCCTTGTGATGTTGCCTGCAAAATACACCACCAAGGCGTCCGAGCAATGACAGTCATGTGGGACATAATCAAAACCCGGTACCACCCAGAAAAGTAGAGTTCAAAGGCCGGCCGCGCCTGTTTACGACTGGGACTGTCCCGGGTTTTGATTGTGCCTCACGTGAGCAAGACATGTGGCAACACAGCTTGCGCCTGCGAAGAATACCCGAATCTGAACTTCATTGCCTCAGACAAGCGCAAGTACCACTTGAGGATGATAATTGCAGTCAGAACAGTGCCACCATGCAAATTCATGTTGTGGACGTGCACGCCACCCTTATTCGTTTGAAAGTTCTGCAATTGTCATTCCTCAAGCGTATAGGATACACACATTTATTATACAGGAAAATCATGTGCCACCCTCCTCTGGTCTTCTTGCTGACCATCTGCATCTGATGTCTGTGGTGCCACTCACGAGTTCAACAAATTCCATTTGAAGTTGCCTCCAACACGCCTTGGAAAACTTGAAACGTACACAGAGAATTGGCAACCAGCCAAATGACAGATTTGGGATGTTCAGGGCGGCAGCCCCCCTCGGGCGACGGCGCCGTTAGTGCTTTTGGTGTGAGATTCGGTGCCGCGCTGGGTGAGGGGACAAGGTGGGGGGCGGAGCATGTGTTGTCGGCCGTTGATTCCAATAGATGCATCCGCAATGTACTTCTGCACTGACTCCAGGCATGGTACAACGAACCGCTTGCTATGTGGCAAATGGTACAGCTTTGCGTTACAGCCACACAGTCTTAGCCGTACTCAGCCTTCCTGAAAATGAAGGGATAGTTTGCTCTACATGGTGCTTCCTTGATTTGTTTCTTTGTGGACTGCGTACACATGACCGAAACAGCAAACATCGTCCTCCACGTGTGTTTCTGCCATATAGCATGTGCAAACCGTTTTTCACATTCAAGACACGTTCCAAGCATAGCTTCTTGTAGTTTTGTGGGCAAGGGATCCCAGGGCGATGCACTAACACGTCCCCTCCCAAAATCTGAAACGGAAACAACCGCTCGAACAAACGCACCATTTTAATAGAAAATCATGGTTTCTGATCTCTTGCAATTAGATAATATGTTTACATGTGCATTAATATATACATAGATATACGTACAATGCAAACATACACATATGTTCACCCTGCCACGGACTAACACGGAACCATGGATTCACGTCCACCAACCGTGTTGGAGGGAGTTCCCGATTTAAAATAATGGCGCCACATTATAGGACAGGCGGCTCTCTAAATATCGCAGGACACCCTTGCGATCATGATAGAGCAAAGGCATCGCCAACCAGTCCTTGGCAGTGCGCTCTAAGAAAGGATCAACTGGAGCGCAGCTCAATAAACGCACATCTCAGAATCGCTCTGCCTTTAAAATCGGTCAATGCCATCAGCGAAATCTGCAGTCTAACCAAAGTGTCTCTGCGGACTCACGAGATAATTCACCGACCAGAACTAAGGATTCCACAAGCAAGGGAACCTGCATCAGGTGCGACCTTGCTTTGCCTCCCAGAACCTGCCATAATTCGCGGGCCCTCCACCGTTGAGCGATGCAAGGAATGACTTCAATATTTGTCACACATGCGATGTGCGCAAACGACAGAACAATGTTGGTGTTCAAGCTATCCTTCCATTGCCCAGTGGATTCCAATTACCTATGTACTAGGTAACCAGCCATTTTCCTGACTTTTTAGGCTAATTGCCTTGGTCGCTACTAGCAAACAGGGAATCCACCGGGTTGGTCAAAATCTGGCCCCTGAGTTTCAAACTCCCTGCCGAGTCTCAAAGTCATTGGCTCGATCTGGCAGAATATAGCCTAAGCAACCACACTTGGGAACCTTTGGGTGTGTCTTTTTGGAGGGTACCCTCGTTTTTGTGGCTTCAAGGGGAAGCCAAAAGGCAAACCACCAATTTGGGGGGTCCCAAAAAAACAACAACACATTGCTGCAGCACCTGCAAGTGCTGCAATGGCTCATCACCTTATCCCTGGTGTGGCGGCTTCTAGAATTTGCGTCCCTTGCCACAAGAGCGAGAGCTTCAAACAGATCCAAGCCAAGGGGTTTCGCAGCGCCTCACGAGAATCCCTGGGTGCGACGCGCGTCTGCGCCTCAGCCA